TTGTGCTTTGTAAGGTCTGATACCATTCCTATTTAATACGACACTGTGTTGGTGATATTGGTGTGTTACACAGCCGTTGAAGTGCTCTATATATTATTTAAGAACATGCTCATGTATATATTTATGTTTAATATGTATGCAATTATTGTTATGCTATTATTTTGAATAAATAACTGTTATTATTTTTATTACAACCGTGTTTCTAATTATGTTCCGATGGGCGCTGATTGTGGAGTTTAAACCCCACTTCACAGGGGCGGATCCAGGAATTTTGCAGGAGTGTGTTTGCCAGGCTCCGGTTAAGGAAATTTGACAATTGACAATGTATGTTGCCATCATCGTCTCTAAATTACGCAGGCATAGATACACATTGAGCTTTTTATAGAGAGACATGCAACACTCCGTTTGATATTTCTTGATATAATGCATTAATAGGATCACATTTTGATTTAAAGGAGCTAAAGCGCTAATATTTGGGACCTAGAAATTGACATAAATGGGTCGCAACACATATAATAATGTAATATGAATGTATATAAACTGATTTACATTCAAACGTTTCTGTTTTTATTGTAATTTCTAATCAGTTATGATCGGCGAATCTCAATCTTTGGCGTCTGTTTTTTTCAGTCTACACCGATGGTATTTATTGCGCATGCTCTCCAGATAAGAATATAGCGTCACCATTTGAAATCACTTGTGGAATATGTCCAGCCCTGTTCTTTATATCCCTTGTTCCAAATGGCGCTGAAACGCATTGTGGTACACGATTCGTGTACCAATGGTAAAAAGTTTATTTTGTCTTGAATATTGGATTTTAGAAGCCCATCTTTTCCCTGTAAAATCACAAGACTAATGTTGATTTGAATTGACAAATAATTCATGTTTTCAATGTCGAAGATTTTTGATGATATTGAGTTAGAGACTTGGCTACTTTAATTTCACTGATGCATAGCATTAATTGTAATATCACAGTATGTCAGTTTCACTATTTCGCGCTTTGAATGCCCATCCTATCCCACCATCTGATGATAAAGGATAAAGAACACGACCGTGACACTTTTTTCATAAAGTGTTGTCGTTTTTGTTTGTTTTTTATATAGATATAGCTTAGCAGGGTAGGGTTCCCCCCCCCCCCCGGATCCGCCCCTGCTTCATTTCATGTCATTTTGAATCTGTCAGCCTTCGTCTTTAAATTTCGAAACACTGGAGCAAAGTTTCTTTTACTTCAACGTCTACACGAAATCTCAGTTTCCGTCCCATCTGAACGACTAGATTGTATTCAGGCCCTGCATCACTGACAAAGTACGTCAACGCTGAAAATTCCCGCGAAACTTGCCCGGCAAACACCGAGGCTTGAAGTGGAGTTTGCAACTGAAATGAAATGGGGTTGAGCGCCCTATACTGTTCTGCTTCGACTGGGCTAATGATACGGACATACGCCATACAGTGTGTATCGAATTTCAACTGCCAACTGTACACGGAACTTGGTTTTTCGTCCCATCCGAACAACTAGACAGCTGTCCTTGTCAGGCCCTCCGTCCGGTATCACTGACAAAGGCGAAGCACGCCGGAAAATTTGGATGACCCTTTTCTGCCAATGCAGGGATCGAGCACTCTAGCGAGCCATTGTCTTACCCACTTGGCCACCATGACCGCCATTAGTCCCGAAATGACCTAGTTTGTGTCGAGTGGACGTTAAAGCCCATATTTCTCTCTCTCTCTCTCTCTCTCTCTCTCTCTCTGGGGGGGTTGGATGGCTGAATGGTTAGCGCGCGCGCTGTATCATAAAGTCTGTCACTGAGTCGACTGGCGTGGTTTCGAATTCCCGGTTGTACGTGGCAAGGAGTAGGGTCGCCTCCGGTTTCCTCCCACTGCTAAAGACCCCTACGCGCAAGCGAATTATGTAAATAAAATTAAACCATATGTTAGTCCCGAAATGACCTAGTTTGTGTCGAGTGGACGTTAAACCCCATTTCTGTCTCTCTCTCTCGCTCTCTCTGTCTCTGTCTCTGTCTCTCTCTTATTTGTTTTAGTAAAAAATAATATATATATATGTTATTGTCATTGAGTCAAATGGTTCGGTAAAAGGAATAAGGTCCCCTGTCTAAACTGGTAGGTATTCTCCGGGTCCACGCCCCTCCCCCTACACTGTTAGAGACGCGTACGGATGTAGTGCAAAACTTTTTTATAGTCTGTTTCTCCCTTTCCCTTCTTTCCCTCCCCCCTTTTGCATGGCGATTTGCTTTGACCTGTTGGTGTAAAATCGAAGGAAAGAGTTTCAATATACATTTTACGCCCGGTGTTTGGTGGATATTCATGATTTCGAGGCGGAGGGATACGAGAGTTAAAAGGTTGGTTAGATTAGATTGAAATGTCGGGCGGACAGTTGCATGTTTTAATGTAAGCTACTTTCAGTTTGTGTTTCTCATACATGCTTTTGAGCAAGAGGTTGCCACTTGTTGCTCCATCTGTGGTAGAATAGAATAGAATAGAATAGAATAGAATAGAATAGAATAGAATAGAATAGAACAGAACAGAACAGAACAGAATAGAATAGGTTTATTGCTGTAATATATGTCAAAGACCAAACGTTACAAGTTTGAATCAACTAGAAAATGATATGTGCAATTATATTTTAAAAGGTGCGATTCATTACAAAATTATTAATTGTTGACAATTGGAGGTTTATATACAATTCTGATATGATAAGTTTTTAAAACGTGTGTTTGTGTTATTAAATTTTAAAATATCTGTATAAGTAAGTATAATTCTGTAGTTGCAATTGAGTATAGGCTATATTTACAAACAATCAACTGGCATGAACATAATTATTTACAGCAATTTATATATGATACTTGGTGACCCTTTCTATATAATGGGAGATGGATAATAATATACAAGGATCGCTAGAATTTGACACGTTTAGGAAGTTACAACGACTGATATTTACCAAAATGTACACGTTCAAAACAAAAGAGAGAGAGAGAGAAATGGGGTTTAACGTCCACTCGCCACAAACTAGGTCATTTCGGGACTAACATATGGTTCAACTTTATTTCAATAATTCGCTTGCGCATAGGGGTCTTTAGCAGTGGGAGGAAACCGGAGGACCCGGAGAAAACCCACGAGGATGGACAGGCGACCCTACTTCTTGTCACGTATAACCGGGGATTCGAAATCACGCCAGTCGACTCAATGACAGACTTTATGATACAGCGCGCGCACGCTAAACATTCAGCCATCCAACCCCCACGTTCAAAACAAACATCTCTGGTGTTCTTCGTTTCTATGCATTCAAACATAAAATGAAATAAATCTTCATTACATTGATGGCATAATGGACATAATGGAAAAGTAGTTTGATTTCATCTATGAAAATTCAAACATGTTGGTAATAGATTTAGCCTAAATTTTGTAATATTTCTTCTGTGTTTTAATTGAATGTTCGACAATAAATAAGATTCCTGAACTAGATTTTTTGAATTTGCAATAATCTGTTAAACTTTCGCTTTCTGATAATTTAGCTTGTAAGTTTATATCTGATAATCGTAACTTAATTTGACTTATAAACATGTTAAAATTGCCGATCATTTCAGTTTCAAAAACCTAACCAAATCCTAAGGAATATAACATAATTGTGACATTTGTCGCCCAACTAACCATGCCGGCTTTGTCTAATTGTTTTAACATAATAAATACTTGTTTAGGATAGCGATCTATGGACATACGCAATAGTTTACACCAATATTTAATACAACACAAAGTATAATGTATGCTTAAACTGTGTCTTCCACATTCCCCAAGTGTTCTAGCATTTGAGGAACTCTTATGAATTCCTTAAATGAACTTGCAAAAATTGTTATGCACCTTTCCAATTTCGTCCCAGCATTTGAGGAACTCTTATGAATTCCTAAAATGAACTTGCAAAAATTGTTATGCACCTTTTCAATTTCGTTCCAGCATTTGAGGAACTCTTATGAATTCCTAAAATGAACTTGCAAAAATTGTTATGCACCTTTTCAAATCCGTGCCACAACTCGGCTCCATAGATTAGGACAGGTTTTATAACATGATCAAAAATCTTAAAACACAGGTTGATAGCTTAGTAATATTTTTATCCCAGTTCAATCTGGAAGAAATTATTAGGCCCAGATAATTATAATAAGTTACAGTTTCTGTTTGTTGATTATTCAAGAACCATTTCTCATTTTGCTTTATTACACCACCGTTATCTGTGGTAGAAAACGTTCAAGCCCACAAAAATGTTCGAGCTGGTCAAATAGACGATAACAGGAGTCAATGAGGCAAATTAGTGATGTAAGGTCAATCTGTTTCACAGAGAATTACGAGTCCTCTAATATCTCTGTAAAATATGACTGCCTTTAACACGTGCCGCCACAGCACGCGGCGTCAATCATTGGCTGAATGGAGCGTGCATTGTTTACATAAGACGTTACTGCTTCGGGCAGGATGCTGCCTTTTAGTCATTTTAATACCCATTTACACTAAATAGGACATAATTTTTACATACAAATACGTCAAACGTCTTTATTTATTTTTCTAATACATCAAAAAAATGTTTTAGAATTGAATTTGTCGGTGGAAAAAAGTAAATATTTGAGACTCATTAAGTCGCATTGATGTCATCCTTATCAGTGATTGTAGAGGCCTAGCGATTATTCACTGACGATCAGTGTGGTGTAAGGTGTCCAAAAATAGAATATTATAATATTTCCCTATTGCAGTCTCGATTACTCTAGCCCCCGTAGTCTCGCCTCACACTGCTGCCTTCACGGGGTTAATATTTTTTAGAATTGTAACTGACGGAAAACGACAATATTATCAGCAAGTCATTGCGTGAATTGTATTCGCAAAAAAACGGCCAGATGTCAAACCCACGTACGTCTGTTTATCCAGATCAGTATGCACAGTAGCCGAAGAGAAATGCTTGTGACTAGATTAATCGCGTGTGAACATCCGGCTATAGTTTACTTTCGCTTTCTGTTCCTGTACCCGTGTATTACCGACTTTACAAAAATACGTACAGGCTACGGAGAACTATAACGGAGATATGTGATCGAATCTCTGAGTTTATTATTTATGTGGGGACACTTAACCGGCCCCACGGAAGTTTATAAAGAGGTACAAATAGCTAAAAGGTAAATAATATAAAACTATAATTCACGGTTAAAATACTTCCTATCTATCGTTCATATATTTATAGATACAGGCTGTCCATAATGGACGTTTTGCTTCTCTCTTATATAATGGCTGACTAACAATCTAATATGTCATGATGTCAGTTAAACATTGGGTGCATACCATACTTAGTTCATTTTGAGAATGACAAGTTAATTGTCCCGTGAAGGAGGAGAGGGAGAGGGGAGACGTTGATGTAGTAGTTATGTTCATGTGTACCGACTTTAAAAGTTGGGCAGATAACTAGGTCAGTGTGTATAAGTATACAATAGGTTGTAATATGTCCTAGATTGAATCACTATTATACATAATATTTATACAAGTATAGCTTACTGGCTGTAGGCCTATTAATTGTTTCGTGTCTGAATGAAATATGGAAGTGGCCTACTTTTCTACACCAGCCGGGATAATGAAGACATATATATACGTCATGCAGTTCTTGATGAGGAACATTTTGCCAGAACAGCGCTATTTTCCCTCACTCTTTGTTTAATTCAGTCAGTGGTTCGTTTAGGATCATGTTAACTTGTACATGGCGTCACGGGTCCGAACAAGGCTAACAATAAAGTGATACGACTTTCATTATCATCGTCTATAATCTAATTTTGTTTAGGGCCTGACAAGGACAGCTGTCTAGTCGTTCGGATAGGACGAAAAACCGAGGCCCCGTGTACACATTGGCGTGCACGTAAAAGATCCCGTGGCAGTTGGAATTCGATATAAGAGTAGGCCGTAGCGCCGCTGTCCTGGCAAAATTTCCCTCATAGCACACTGTATGGCGTATGCTCGTCTTCATTAGCCCAGGTTAGGAGCAGAACAGTAGGACGTTAAACCCCATTTCATTTCATTTCATTTCTAATTCTGTTTTTTTTTTGTCCATATGTACCCCGTGTATGGGATTTACAGTATCTGATTATATGAGCCCTGTGCCCGCCTAGAATTTTTGTACTTGTATATAGTATATATTCTATTCTATTCTATTCTATTCTATTCTCAATTCTAATTCATCTTTCTATTCTATTCTATTCTATTCTATTCTAATTCATCTTTCTATTCTATTCTATTCTATTCTATTCTATTCTATTCTAATTCATCTTTCTATTCTATTCTATTCTCAATTCTAATTCATCTTTCTATTCTATTCTATTCTATTCTATTCTATTTCTATTTCTATTCTATTCTATTCTATTCTATTCTATTCTATTCTATTCTATTCTATTCTATTCTATTCTATTCTATTCTATTCTATTCTAATTCATATTTCTATTCTATTCTATTCTATTCTATTTCTATTTCTATTCTATTCTATTCTATTCTATTTCTATTCTACTCTATTCTATTCTATTCTATTCTATTCTATTCTATTTCTATTTTATTCTATTTCTATTCTATTCTATTCTATTTCTATTTCTATTCTATTCTATTCTATTCTATTCTATTCTATTCTATTCTATTCTATTCTATTTCTATTTCTATTTCTATTCTATTCTATTCTATTCTATTCTATTTCTATTTCTATTCTATTTCTATTTCTAATTCTAATTCTATTCTATTCTATTTCTATTCTATTCTATTCTATTCTATTCTATTCTATTCTATTCTATTCTAATTTCATTACTATAGGTTGTTGACATCCATCAACCATGGATGATAAGCATGCTAGGATACTTCGAAGGCAGAGGATGGCGCTGTCGAAAGCTATTACTGATGTGGAGACTGTAGTGGAATCTCTATTTTCAGAAGGTACCATCACAGGGAATATGAAAGATAATATCCTGGTAAATGATTTTAATACAAGTCCGTCCCTGGCTTTATAATTATATATTCTACCAGTCCAGGGGTTTAATGCCATACTGCTCGTGCTCTGCTCCAATCTCGTATTTGGAATTTCAACTGTCACGGGATCTTAGTTTTTCGTGCCATTCCAACGCCTTTAAAGAGGGGGGGGGGGTACTCGGCCAACTTCAGGATCGAACATGGGATCTCTAGGTTAGCAAGCCATCGTCTTACTCCCTGGAATACGACGGCTTCGCAAGTTGCTTTATAAATGCATGTTGTACCAGAATGCCTGTTCAGAGAAAGAGAGAGAGAGAGAGAGCGAGAGCGAGCGAGAGATAAATGGGGTTTAACATCCACCCGAGACCCACTAGGTCATTTGGGGACTAACATATGATTCTATTTTATTTCAATAATTCGCTTGTGAGTAGGGATCTTTAGCAGTTTATGAGAAATATCTTTGATCCAGAAACACAAAACTTTGCACACAGTTTCTTATTGATGTATTGTAATAATATTGCTAGAAGTTTTGCTCTTGAAATAAGATGGCTTTATATTTCATTAATTAATATCTTTGGCAAGTTAGTAATTTCAAACATATTCACATATATAGTGTGCACTAAATCAACTTAGTCTGTAATTGACAGTTGACACATAAAAAAGAGTTATTTATCGAAAACATATGTCACTCATTTACCACCAGAATTACACGTGAGTGGAATTATATTGTCCAATAGACATGTCCTGAGATCATTAGGACGCGTCGCGTGTTCTAATGTAAAATCTCAGGACATGTCTATTGGACAATAACACCCCTCTAAATGCGAAACAGGAGGTGTTTATCGACATTGTAACATGCTATTTTTTAGAATTTTAAAAGAACTTATTTTATTGTGTAAACTTCAAAATTCGTCTCACTGCAAATCGTCTGGTTGCTATAGTAGCCGTATGAGTATAGACACACAAAAAAACCCTAAAATTCTCACTTCATTTTTTTAAAAGTATTTTTTGAAACAAAATTTATGTTTTTGTAATAGATTTTTGAATATTTTGTTGTTTGTAGCTGTTACCTGACAAGGGGGTTGGCGTTTCAAGTTCATCTTCGGACATATCTCCAAATATTTCATCTAATGTACCGAGATCAAAATTGATTGTCTCCGTTGTGGTTATCGCCATTAAAGTAGTACGCATAATTTTTCTAATTTAGAGGGATGTTATTGTCCAATAGACAGTGTCTAATCGACCAATCAAAACGCAAGATTCACCCTTATATAAACATGTTACAATTTTGAATAAATTGTTAACCTAAGTCTGAAAATGTTTTGTGAACTCGGGGCCTGAAGTTTTTATCAGCACACATGTTTTATCTTTTATTTAAAACAAATATCAATAAATTATTACATCTATTCCGGGCCAGTTTCATTTTACAATTATCCAATCTGATTAAAACACAGATCCTATTTCGTTTCGTTTTTTATAGTTCAAAATTTCGTTTTACTTGTCTTTACTACACTAAGATCTGGAAGAGTTGTTATATTACCGGCGTTCTGGTTGAAGTGAGTGATTAGCCAATGAAACGATCTGTTACGGCGAGTTTTTGGCGTGCGATGCACGGAACTGTGGGTAAAGCACAAGAAACGTCAACGCTGATTGATTAATCAATGTCTGACGTCATAGGGTCAGACATTGATAGATCTGGATTTTAATCAGCTTGACATGTATCTTACATTTATTCAGAGCAAACCAACTAAACAGAAAAGAGTTTTCGAATTGCTGGATATTTTACCACGGAGAGAAGAAGAAGCTTTTGATGAGTTTTATAAAATTCTTGTTGGGCATGATGAGGGAAACGCAGCCGACTTGCTCAAACCTGAATTAAAAGACCAAAGGATCAGCCGAAAAAAAAGTGAACGCCAGAAGCCTGTTCAAGAATCAGCATCAAATGTCCAAGAATTGGTCAACAGATTCGAACAAGCGAACATATGCACTGACGACGATGATTTACCTGCCGGTATGTTTTTATTTGTGTAATAAAAATGAAATGAAATGGGGTTTAACGTCCTAGTGTTCAGCTCCTAAACTGGGCTAATGAAGACGGGCATACACCATACAGTGTGCTATGAGGGAAATTTTGCCCGGGCAGCGGCGCTACGGCCTACACCTATATCGAATTCCAACTGCCAAGGGATCTTTTACGTGCACGCCAATATGTGTCAGGATAACACCAGACTTTTATTTTGTTTACCGTTCACAAGAACATACATCACGCACTGATTTGACCTCTTAAGCAACGGTAATAGATTATCAGGTCACCCAACGAAACAATTGACCCAAAACCTTAAAAGAGTTACGGGTCACGCCCATACGACTCGATATTTTGATTAGTCTCGGTCACCCAGAACCTCCTAGTCTTCAACATACGGAGGGTCTGGGAAAGTTGTCAATATTTTACGTAAAGTCCATTGCCCATGCGTAACCGGGAGTTTGTTTTTTAATGTGGTTGATTATCCAGTCTCTGTAGCCAAGTCAAGTAAGAGTTGCGCCCCTTCCCACAATAAATCCCATAATTCTTGCATTAATAATATAAACAAACATGAATCGTGACGACGAATTAGGAATAATTTTAAAAGCATAGATATGGCCCATGAAGAGGGAAATTTTACAATAAAAAATTAAGAGTGTTAGATATTGAACTCGCATGCAATCACATGGATTTTTTAAAATTAATTTCATGGGCGTAACATCTTGTTTAAAAGGAGTTACCTCCCTTAGACGTTGTTTATGACAATGTAATAGACCGGATTATCTAGCCAATTTTTCTCAAATGTTGACAACCCATCCAGACTAATATTCGTAGAATATTTTTCTGGATGATAGAGACTATATTTTGATCTGATATTTTCAGACAAGGTGATACACCTTTCCTCGTAATTTTGCGCTTAAATTTAATACGCACACAGACTTTTATTTCTGGGAGTCTGTTAAAATCGGGATGGTCACTTTGAGATTACTGACTCAGTAATATAGATTACTGATTGTAAACACTTTGCTAATAATTCAAGGGACATTACCCTGAATAGAGAGAGAGTGAGAGAGAGGGGGGGAGAGAGATGGGGTTTAACGTCCACTCGACACAAACTAGGTCATTTTGGGACTAACAGATGATTCAATTTTATTTCAATAATTCGCTTGTGCGTAGGGGTCTTTAGCAGTAGGAAGAAACCGGAGAACCCGGAGAAAACCCACGTGGTTGGACAGGCGAACCTACTCTTTGTCATGTACAACCGGAGATTCGAAACCACGCCTGTTGATTCAATGACAGACTTTATGATACAGCGCGCACCTGCTAACCATTCAGCCATATTAGATACTAGCCAGTATAGTATTATGATAATACTGAAATGTTTTATTTGTTTGCTCTCTATTCACTGTTTCTATGTTAATCGATGAACAAGTGGTTCAAGGCCAATAAAGATTTCATTTGATTGGATTTTGATAATTTAAGATCTTGACTTGATTTCATTTGATTTATAAATTAAGATTACTGATCAATTATTTGAGATGACTGATCAATTATTTGAGATTACTGGTTAATAAATCGAGATTACTGATTTATAATTTGAGATTGTGGATTAATAATTTGTGACTACTGATTAATAATTTGAGATTTCTGATTGATAAATCGAGATTACTGATTACTTAATTGATTCATTAATTGATATTACTTATTAATTAATTGATTTATTAATTGAAGGAAATAGTTTATTTGTTTTATTGTATTTATAGAATGGCCAATAAAAGAAAGAATGAACCCCAATTACCCAGAATTTATTAGAGTACAGCACTGCAATATAAATAGTGAAATTTACAACAAATTCGAAAAGTCACGAGAGGGAAATAGCAAACAGGTAGGTTATTTTGATATATAGCATTTAACATTTACCATAGATTCGTAGATTTAACGTAGATTCGAATATTTACACGTCTAAAATCACAGATTTACATGTTAACATTCATAGATGTACATGAATAGATTCACAGATTTACAGATGTCTAGATTCACAGATTTACTCCACACCACTGAACCAGGCCATAGTCTACAGCAGTGAACCAGGCCATACTCTACAGCAGTGAACCAGGTCATACCCTACAGCAGTGAACCAGGCCATACCCTACAACAGTGAACCAGGCCATACTCTACAGCAGTGAACCAGGCCATACTCTACAGCAGTGAACCAGGTCATACCCTACAGCAGTGAACCAGGCCATACTCTACAGCAGTGAACCAGGCCATACCCTACAGCAGTGAACCCCGGCCATTGTTCTTGTGACTGTCTTTTATTGGCGAACCAAAATTGCGACGTATGCCCGTGGTAGCAATATTCCAAGTTGTTGTTGTTGTTTATTACAATAAATATACAATATACAATAAATATAATATTATGGACAGGTTGATTTAATTAAATTATTTACACTTGAAAATTGTTTAAAACGCAACATAAAAAAGTCCTCGGATACCAAAGGTTTCTTAAAGCACACTTATAAATTCGCTGTCGTGAGAAGAGAGGGCGGGTCATCTTCTCCCTTTGTCATAATAAAGTTAAAACAGGAGGTCTAACTGACTGATGTTTGGCGTCATCAGAGCGGATAGAAAAAAACCCCGTTGGGAAAAAGAATCCGCTGGCTTTATGTGGAAAAGCGAAGTGCTCGCAGTAAAAACGACATAGCTGGACCCGTACATTATTTACATATAAAAAGTGTTCGTCCAATAAGTTTCATGTTGTTAAAAATTAACTAAGAGTTCAAGACTTCAAGTTTAAAAGTTGTAGGCATTCCATTATAGTTTTTTTTGCGTATGGCTCTCCACAGATAAAAAGTTACCTGAAAAGAAAAGAAGAGCCAGCAGCAACACAAATTGAACCATTTATAGGAATAAATAAATTTTTAAACACGAGTTAAATTAAATTGATTTGTGTGCAATGTCATTGTTAATAATGGTTGTGCAGGTCCTTATTCCTTTATTTGTTATTATTTTTCCCTTGTGTCTTATTATATTAGATCATGCAATAGACTGAACCGCCATACTGTCCTACAACAATAGTTCCTTTCTTTGTAACTAGATATGTAGTTCCATATCTTAACGTTAATTTGTTCTCATATTATTAAAGCACCCAGGTGGCTTAGGGGCCAACCTGGTCTACACAACCAATTATCTTTCTTTGACTAGTGCTCTTTTAACGCAACTAACTTAACAGTTAATTCCCGATTCTGCTATGAATTTTGAGATAGCTTCATAAATTTTATATGATATATTCCTGGGGGGGGGGGGGGGGTACATTTTGGACGGTATATTGAAGTTTGGCATTTTCCATTAAACTTCATACAGGGAGTCTTTTCTTTTCCAATTTATTGCACGCAATGATGACATGATTAACGGTCAAATTGTGGCCACATTCGCACTTCACTGGGTTAAATTTATTACGATTATTAAATCTTTAGTTCTTAATCTTGTGATTAACACACAAATTTTGCGCGATGGGTGATTAATCTCCGTTTTTGCAACCAGATCGTTGTTTAAATTGAATCTAAAAGTATTTGCTCTGGCCAACTCAATTGTCCATTCTGATTTAATTTTAGTTTTGACGATGCTATTAAATTCCTGAACGCTATATTTTAAGTATTCGGTCTAGCAGAGGCTCAGTCCTTTGCGAGCCAGATTGTCTGCGGACTCATTGCCTGCTATGCCAACATGGGATGGTATCCATGTATATTCTACGGTTCTATTTTTGTTTTGGAGGGAATAAACACTTTCTCGAATATTCTGAACACTTTCTGGTCTAGGTGTTTTTTTGTCATGTATTATTGACTTTATGCTGCTGAGGGAGTCTGGCACAATGACTGCTCTTTGAACGGAGAATGACACGAGCCACTCAAGAGCTGTGGATATTGCCTTTAGTTCTGCGGTATAGATAGAGCATCCATCTGGTAGCCTTTTCGATATATTAATATTAAATTCGGGAATGACCACACCTAATGCAGTTTTGGTAGTGTCTGGATCGTGAGACCCATCCGTGTATATTTTCACATGCGATGACCATTTTTAGTTCAAGAATTCTCTCGATAGCATTAGAGCGTGTTGTGGATTGTCTTTTTTCTTGACAACGTTATCTAGGCTTATGTCAAAGTTTGGATTTAAAAAGGTCCATGGGGCTTGATACGAAAATACCCTATCAGTAATCTGATAGTGATCTAATCTTAGGTCTTTTAATAGATCATTTGCTCTGTGTCCGAAAGGCTGAGTCTCTGATTTGACATTTCTTTTGAATTTATATTTCAAGTGATTAGCAATCCTCATATCACATTCATTAAATTGTCAAACATACATTATGACGTCACATTAATAATGATGTCATTGTATTAATCATATTAAACATGCATTATGCTAGAGCTAAATCTGTATATTGCACGTCTTTCTTTAGGTCTGACATGTTATATAAATTATTAATTAGACATTAATTAACTTATCCAGGCCATAATCGACTCTCGATGTCATCGAATACTCTATATTTTCAGTAGATTTGCGGTTGATTACTTAACTTAAAAATTGATAATTGAGACTATGTGTATCATCGTAACAACGGTAGTAATGACAATCGAGGTTACTTTGTTTATTGTATCGCCGATAGCTCGGCTCAGAGTGAACTAATTTGACAGACATGTTTAACATATTCCCTTTTCAATATCTATTTGTTAACAATTATAGCGAGAACTGTCAGCTCTTTATCTAATATCTCGGTTCAGAGTGGAACAATTTGACTTAACGTTTCACCATATTCACTTTACATTATCTAGTTTTTAACTAATTTAGCGAGAATTGTCAGCTCTTTATCTAATCTTACCTAACGCCTCTTTAATTGATGTCTATTTCAGATATACCAAATGTCGGCACCAATACGGGGTTATGTTCTGGTCATCAACAATAAAACGTTTGATAACGGAGTAGAGACTCGAGAGGGTACGACGGTCGATGCTGAAGCTATAAAAATATTATTTGAGCAGTTACATTTCCATGTTGATATCAAATCTGACCAGACAGTTGAGGTAACCTATCATAACCCTTGTTACTCCGAAATATGGCGTGGTTTGGATTCTTCGGGTGTACGTGACAAGGAATGTCTAGCCTCGTTGGTTTACTCCTTGTCCTCTGGGTTCCTCCCACTGCTAAAGACCCTTACGCGCAAGCGAATTATGTAAATACAGTTGAACCATGTGTTAGTCCCGAAATGACCTAGTTTGTGTCGACTAGAAGTTACCCCTCTCTCTCTCTCTCTCTCTCTCTCTCTCTCTCTCTCTCGCCTTTACCTCGTTTTGTATAGCGGCGTATTAAAGAATTTGGGTTCAGATCTAAATATTAAGGTCACCTGCAGATTTCGTCAAGTTTCTGGTCCATAGTACGATGGTACATGTTTAATTATGCCCCCATTAAATATTGTACTCGTTTGTTTTTTTGTTTTTTTTTTGGGGGGGGGGGGTTGAATTATTGAAATCAAATTGAACCATGTGTTAGTCGTGAAATGACCTAGTTTGTGTCGAGTGGACGTTAAACCTCTCTCTCTCTCTCTCTCTCTCTCTCTCAATATATAAATATATCTTTTTGATTTGTCTGATTTTAGCAAATGAAAAACACCTTAAAAGAGTATAGTGAAATGGATCACAGTAGCTTCGACTGTTTTATTTGTTTTATTCTGTCGCATGGTGACGAGGATGTTGTTATAGGATCCGATGAAAAAACAATGAAATGGGAAAAAATCTATGAATATTTTAATGGTAAAAAGTGTAAAAGCCTTGCCGAGAAACCAAAGATTTTTTTACTTCAAGCCTGTCAAGGAAGTAAGTTTCATTAATTACTTTCTTCTTCATCGTCTTTACCAGAATATATCGGGTTCGAATTCCCGTGGTGTGCACCAAGTGATAGTTTCTGTCCCGCTAATTGGGGAAACTTTTTGTAACGGTGTGCCCTTGTGGTTTAATAGCTGCCACAAGAGAGAGAGAGAGGGTGAGAGAGAGAGAGAGAGAGAGAGAAATAGGGTTTAACGTCTTTAGCAGTGGGAGCAAACCGGAGGACCCGGAGAAAACCCACGAGGTTTGACAGGCGACCCTATTCCTTGTCTCGTACAACCAGGAATTCGAAACCAGGCCACTTGACTCAATGATAGGCCTTATGATACAGCGCGCTCGTGCTAAACATTCAGCCACCCAACCCCCCTCCACAGGAAAGACTTAAGGGCGGTTGGTTGGATGGCCGAATGGTTAATACGAGCTGTATCATAAGCTCTGTAATTAAGTCAACTGGCGTGGTTTTGATTTCCCGGTTGTACGTTACAAGGAGTATGGTCGCCTATCCAACCTCGTGGGTTTTCTCCCGGTCCAGCGGTTTCCATGTTTTAGTCCCGAAACAACCTAGTTTGTGTCGAATGGACGTTAAACCCCAGGTTTGGCAGATATATTGTTGACAGTTCATTTGCCGAGATAACAGGGCCTGGATATCAGTAAAATCATCCTGTCAGGACCTTGATATTAGTAGAAACATCATGGCAGGACCTTGATATCAGTAGAAACTTCCTGTCAGAGCCTATCAGTAGAAACATCCTGTCAGGGCCTGGATATCAGTAGAAACTTCCTGTCAGGACCTTGATATCAGTAGAAACATCCTGTCAGAGCCTATCAGTAGAACCATCCTGTCAGGGTCTGGATATCAGTAAAATCATCCTGTCAGGACCTTGATATCAGTAGAAACATCCTGTCAGAGCCTATCAGTAGAAACATCCTGTCAGGCCCGGATATCAGTAAAACCATCCCGTCAGGACCTTGATATTAGTAGAAACATCCTGTCAGGACCTTGATATCAGTAGAAACATCCTGTCAGGACCTTGATATTAGTAGAATCATCCTGTCAGGACTTTGATATTAGTAGAAACATCCTGTCAGGACCTTGATATTAGTAGAATCATCCTGTCAGGGCCTGGATATCAGTAAAAACATCCTGTCAGGGCCTTGATATCAGTAGAAACTTCCTGTCAGGACCTTGATAATCAGTAAAACCATCCTGTCAGGGCCTTGATATTAGCAGAATCATCCTGTAAGTAGGATCTAGCAAGTGAAATAATTTTCAATCTGGTTAAAACACAGATCCTATTTCGTTTCGTTTTTATAGTTCAAAATTTCGTTTTACTTGTCTTTACTACACCTCACTCGAAGACTTGTTATTTAACTCGTGTTCTGCTTGAAATGGGGGGTCAGCCAATCAAATGGTCTGTCGAATCGAGCGTTTGACCTTTTTTGCCCGGAACTGTGGGTAATCCACTAGTAACATCAATGCTGATTGGTTAATCAAATGTCTGACGTCATAGGTCAAAAGTCGGTTTTTGCCCCCTGACGCGACCTATCGCTATAACTTGTCAGATCTTCATGTAGTGTAGGCCATCGAAAGAAAGTATGAAAAAACGAAACGAAATAGTATTTTAATTAGATTGAATACTTTTATACAACAATTGGACTAATGAAGACGGTCATACGCCACGCTGGGTACTACGGAGGAAATTCACATTTCGTGTGATTCCGTTTAACGTCCACTCGACACAAACTAGGTTGTAAAGGGAGAAGTATAGTTGTTCGAATGGGACGGGAAACCGGGTACACACTGGCCTGCACATAAAAGATCCCTTGACTGTTGGAATTCGATATAAGAGTAGGCTATAGTGCCGCTGTCTGGGCAACATTTCCATGATAGCACACTGTATGACGTATGCCCGTCTTCATTAGGCCAGGAGGTTAAACCCCAATGTCATTGTAGTTCTTTAACACAATAGTTTCACTTTAAATTTATAAATATTGCGCATGTTGGCCATCACACGCGTGTCCATTCGCAAGGAAGATCCGAGGCGAATTAAAGGATGTCAATGTACCAGACGTTTAACGTCCACTCGACACAAACTAGGTCACGTCGAGAGTAACACATAGTTCAATTCTATTTCACTAATGCACTTGTGCGTAGGGTGTCCTTAGCAGTGGAGGGAAAACCGGAGGACCCGGAGACAAATCACGAGGTTGGACAGGCGACCCTGTTCCTTGTCATGTACATCCGGGGATTAGAAACCACGCCAGTTGACTCAATGACAAACCTTCTGATACAGCGGGCATGTGCTAATCATTCGGTCATCCAATCACCCTGAGTCCCTGACTTGATCGAAATCAATGATAGTTTTGTTTTCCGAACGTCTGAAGGTAGCGGTATTTAATTGCGACTCGTGTATTCGTGGTATAAGTCTATTATAAAAGCATGAATTGTCAAAGTTTTTGCGATCCGATCCAATCTTAATATAAATCTGTTGTATATCGTATTAATTTGGTCGAAGACATAATGCATTTGTTTTTAAACATTTTTAAATTTTTTTAATCTTCCAGAATTAACTGATACCATACATAGCTTATCTAAGTCTACGCGTTCACCTGATCAGAAAGAAAGGACTGACGCATGTGGTGGACACCCCAACAGAGCTGATTTTTTTACTAGTTTATGCACTGTAAAAGGTGAGATGTTGTTGTATAATCCAACCTTGTACCTGTAAAAGGTGAGATGTTGTTTATAAACCACCCTTGTACCTGTAAAAGGTGAGATGTTGTTGTATAATCCACCCTTGTACCTGTAAAGGGTGGGATGTTATTGTATAATCCACCCTTGTACCTGTAAAAGGTGCCTTGTGTTGTATAATCCACCCTTGTACCTGTAAAAGGTGAGATGTTGTTGTGTAATCCACCCTTGTACCTGTACAAGGTGAGATGTTGTTTATAAACCACCCTTGTACCTGTAAAAGGTGAGATGTTGTTGTATAATCCACCCTTGTTCCTGTAAAAGGTGAGATATTGTTGTATAATCCACCCTTGTACCTGTAAAAGGTGAATGTTGTATAATCCATCCTTGTACCTGTAAAAGGTGAGATATTGTTGTATAATCCGCCATTGTAAAATCGAGTGGATTAGAACACACTCACTGGATAATCAAGACATTTCTATTATGTTAGCAATGGTACCTAACAACCGAAGCTATCGCGTCAAAACTTCGTCCCTTACAGTTTATTGACTCTATATAATAACTTCACGGACATGTTCAATATATGCATCTCTCGTTGTAATTGTCCGAGAAAGTTCATCAAGAGGATTGTCAGTGGTGACAGCTGTCTAATCGTTCGGATGGGACAAAAAAACCGGGTTCCTGTCTATACATTGGTGTACACGTAAAAAGATCCTTTGGCAGTTGGAATTCGATATAAGTTTAGGCCATAGTGTCGCTGCCCGGGCAAAATGTCCCCATAGCAAACTGCATGGCGTATGCCCGTCATCATTGGCCTAATCGGAACAGAACAGTAGGACGTTAAACCTCATTTCATTTGAAATTTGGGTGTTTTTTGGGTGGTATGCAAAAATCGAATGATTGAAATCGAATTTGTACACTATGTTGATTTGGGAAGGGAATGAAATGAAATGAAATGGGTTTTAACGTCCTACTGTATTGCTCCGAACTTGGCTAATGGAGACAGGTATATACCATACAGTGTGCTATGAGGGAAATTGCGCCCGTACAGCTGCACTACGGCCTACTCTTTACAACACATTCCAACTGCAAGGGATCTTTTACGTGCATACCAAAGTATACACGGTACTTCGGATTTACGTAATATCCGAACAACTAGACAGCACCATATCCACTTAGCCAACGTGGCTCCTTCAGTTGGGAAGCATGTCATATCTCGTAGGTTTTCTCTTGGACCCCAGGTTTCCTCCCACAGCTATGTGATTTATTAAGATAAAATTAAACTATGTTAGTCACAAAATTACCTAGTTGACCTCCCCCTCTCTCTCGGGTTCAGATCTAAATATTAAGGTCACTTGCAGATTTCGTCAAGTTCCTGGTCCACTGTACGATTGTACATGTTTAATTATGCCCCCATTAAATATTGTACTCGTTTTTTTTTCTGTCCCATTCGAAGTAATAGACTTGAGACGATATACCAACATTATCTGAAATTTGATCGTTACTGAGACGATACATGAGTCAAATCCACGACTTCAACAGGTTTCATTTGATGTTTTGATTTCAGGACAAGTGTCGTATCGTTACGACTTGTACGGCACAAGGTTTATATTCACCTGGATATACGTCATAGAGACATTCGCACATAAATGTCATCTCATGGACCTCTCTAGAAAGGTAGGTTCCATAATCAAAATCATGATCCAGGGAAATATTTGTTCTTAAGTTCTCCCTTTGGTGTTGATATAGATCCAGGGCTCCAGGGCGGGGAATGGATACACGATGATATTCGGAGACTGAGATACCCACCTTGTTGGATACATTGTTCGACTGTTAGCTCATAACCCAGTCGGATCGGGGTGGCGTCCTAACTGCGCTGCTATAGCGACGGAGAATGGTCTCAGAGCGTGGTGGAAATGCCAGATATCGTGCTGTTGTCTCCGTGATCGCCGAGTCACGGCGTTTGTTTTGAGCATGTTAAAAAAACGCCAAGGTTCTATGATCTGACCTCGAAAACTTTGAGAACGCAACTTTTTTCTAGTTTGTAATTTTTGGGGACATTTGCCGGCGACCTTGTACCTTTTCTGGTCGCCATACTGTCGCAGCAGCGCAGTAAGGACGCCACCCGTCTAGGGAGGCATTAGACTAATAATCTGAATTACTTCCTACATCTATCTATTTTTGTACTATGTCGTCATTGACCTTACTATAGCCACTACCCGACTGTGAAAGTTGCTGATCATTTCTAATGCCTGGCTTTCACGTGGGCTACGAACGCCACGAACGCTACGAATTGTCCCTAATAGTGGCGAATCGAAATTCGTGGCGATTCTGCAAAAATATCAAAAAGATCGTAGAGAATGTGGAGTAGCTGCGAAGCAAGTACGAATAGTTTACGAAAGAGTTACGATAATTCGTGGGTAATCGGCTGAAAATTATCCCGGATGTCATGGAAGCATTTTAGGAAATGAAAGACGCATCTATACGAACTAAAGCGATTCAGTTACGAATGAGTTACGGATATGCCGAATACAGTTACAAATACACTACGCTGTCCGCGAATAATGTCGATAAAGCTACGAAAACTTGACGATATTTGGCACTATTCATTACAGAATCGACAGGTAAAGAAAGGGCTATGAAGGGTTTACGATACATCTACGAATTCCGAAATTCGAGTTTCGGGTTGCCGTTACGGATAGTTTTAATTGGTGTACCTCTTGTACATGAATTCGGAGCCACGGTGGCTAGGTGGGTAAGACGCTCGCTCGCTAGCATGGAGGTCGGGTCTTCGATCCCTGCATTGGCCGGTAAAGTTCATCCCGATTTTCCGACGTGGTTTCCCCTTGTCAGTGATGCAGGACGAAAAACCGAGGTCCCGTGTAAACATTGGAATGCACGTTAAAGATCCCTTGGCAGTTGCAATTCGATATAAAAGTAGGCCGTAGCGCCGCTGCCCGGGCAAAATTTCCCTCATAGCACACTGTATGGCGTATGCCCGTCTTCATTAGCCCAGGTTAGGAGCAGGACAGTAGGACGTTAAACCCCATTTCATTTCATTTCATTTCATTTGTACATGAATTCTATTTATTTTGGTTTTCAGGTAGCAAACCTCCTACACAGATGGGACACCGGATTAGGCACATTACAAACCCCGGAAATGCGATCAACGTCGGGAAAAGAATTATATTTCTTTCCCGGTCTTCGGTTGAATCCAGGCGCCATTCAACAGTTCAACAATAATCCTGTTCAACCACCTTCCAGTAATAACCTTGCTCAACTGTGTTCCAATCAACAATCTTCCAAACAAAACATCGAAGAAGTCGTGCAACAACCCTGTGACCGTGACCTAAAGGGGGAATTTGTCCCGAGCAACGGTTTGGCTCAAGCAATACCTCCTCAAGCAATACCTCAAGATAACAATTGCAATCAGATTCAAGATGAGGTTGACGACGACCATGAGGCCACAGCTGATCGTAAATCAATCAGTATTAAAACCCAATAGTCAGTGCAAGATAATATTGGTTCTAAGGAAAAGAAGCTTTAATGAACTGGAAACGGCATAACGTCTTTGTATCACTATACCGATTGAAGCCAGGTAGCCATATTGTAAAAAATAGTAATAGGCAATCTGAGTAAAATAGAGATCTGTATTTCGTTTCGTTTTTTTTATACTTTCGATGGCCTACACTACATGAAGATCTGGCCAGTTGTACTGGTAGATCGCTTCAGAGGTCGCACGAACGGCCTTTGACCTATGACGTCAGACATTGATTAATCAATCAACGTTGACGTTGCTAGTGGTTTACCCACAGTTCCGTGCATTTCATTGGCTAATCCCTCACTTCAACAAGAAAGCGGGTTCAATATCAACTCTTCCGGATCCTAGTGTTGTTAAGACAAGTAAAACTAAATTTTGAACTATACACAACGAAACGAAATAGGATCTGTGTTTTAATCAGAGTGATTAGAAAGATGATTTTTGGAGATTAATCCATTATGGTGTCGAAGATTGCATCAAAGCCCCTCCCCCCCCCCCCACATCATTAAAGCTTCTTGGTTCTAAGCAAAAAATAATTTATTGTAGAATGGTCAAGACATTTGATTGGTGACCAACTGAAAACCATTGTCAGAAATTATTTTCATGTTTTTATTTACATTTAGAATATATCAAAATTATTTTTAATTCGTCAATTATTCTGATTTGATCTTGTAAACCACACCAAACCTAATAACATGTACAGTAAATATAAGTCAACTCATGACACTGGCTCCCATATAACATGATTCAAGAGAATTTTTACAAAGACTTCAGCTCAAAGATACCTGGGCCCTTATTCACGAAAACTTAAACTAAGATAAAATCGAAATTTTAAGAAATACTGCGACTTCATTGGATATATGCAAATTGATTTTACTGGTCAGCCAATCTTAAAATTTCGATTTTATCTTAGTTTAAGTTTTCGTGAATAAGGGCCCTGTAGTTTATTTCGTGTATGGATATGGATATCATTTCAGAAAGGAAGTTGCTGATTTATTGTTAGTTTTAATTTATTACTCTAGCCTGTTGTAGTGGTGTAATAGATTAGATATGTAAACAGGCAAGTGGGTGGGTGGGGTGGATGACCGAATGGTTAGCACGTGGGCACTGTATCATAAGGTCTGTCATTGAGTCAACTGGGGTGGTTTCGATTTTCCGGTTACACGTAAGAAGGAAAAGGGTCGCCTGTCCAACCTCGTTGGTTTTCTCCTGGTCCTTCGGTTTCCTCCCACTGCTAAAGACCCCTACGTACAATCGAATTATTGAAATAAAATTAAACCATATGTTAGTCATGAAATGACCTAGTTTGTGTGGAGTCGACGTTGACCCAACCCCCTCCCCTCTCCCGAAATGATCTGGTTTGTGTCGAGTGGACGTTAAACCCATCTCTCTCTCTCTCTCTCTCTCTCTCGAATCATGTCATATGTTGAATTATGTGATATAAATTCCAATATATTTTATATATGATCTAAATATTACCAATAAATTTTTTTATGTTTTTAAATAAATTGTATAATTTTTGTTTTAGTCCAATTACTCCAAACAATTATGCAGGCATATTATCCTCTTTCATAACATGTTAGTCCCGAGATAACCTCTCTCTCTGTCTGTCTCTCTCTCTCTCTCTCTGTCTCTCTCTCTCTGTCTCTCTCTCTCTCCCTCTCTCTCTCTCCCTCCCTCCCTCTCTCTCTCTCCCTGTCTCTCTTTCTCTCTCTCTCTGTCTCTCTCTTTCTCTCTCTCTCTCTCTGTCTCTCTCTCTCTCTCTCTCTCTCACTCTCTCTCTCTCCCTTTCTCTCTCTTTCTCTCTCTCTCTCTCTCTCTGTCTCTCTCTTTCTCTCTCTCTCTCTCTGTCTCTCTCTTTCTCTCTCTCCCTCCCTCCCTCTCTCTCTCTCTCTCTCTCTGTCTCTCTCTTTCTCTCTCTCTCTGTCTCTCTCTTTCTCTCTCTCTCTCTCTCTCTCTCTCTCTTTCTCTCTCTCTCTCTCCCTCCCTCCCTCTCTCTCTCTCTCCCTGTCTCTCTCTTTCTCTCTCTCTCTGTCTCTCTCTTTCTCTCTCTCTCTCTGTCTCTCTCTCTCTCTCTCTCTCTCGCTTCCACCGAGAGCAATATCGCATTCTTGTCTGAATCGGGTTGTCGTCTTTCGATCTGCCCGACACGTCGATGATATGTAGTTCAATATTATACATAATTTGACGCACTAAGCATATTTATAATGCAATTTTAAGAAGGACGATAAACACAGTAGGATTCAGACTAGCAATTATTTGCCCATTGACTTCAATGTTAAATGGCTGTAACATCACAGGCTGTAGCTTTTTGCTCAACATTCCGTTGGTTCCAATCTTTATAGGCACAATGGGTACCACATTTGGCAATATCCTCATCATAACTTTGTAGGGGGTTGACCGTTTAGATTTTTTGCTACGGGGATTTGAAGTTGACTGGGGTGAAAATCTCACTTTCGACACAAGGATTGCTCTGCAGAAAGACACTTTACACTCCCTATCCCTCCGCTGTAATATCATCAGTATTACCCAAAAAAATTACCCAAAGGGGAGAGAAAAATTAAGGGAAAAATTGTCTATTTATAACTCGCACTATAAGGGGAAATAATTACTAGTCTTAGACCTATATACCTCACATATTTCTGCACTTTAAACAAATCTTTTGTTATCTAATAAATAAACATATTAGCAATGCCCAGGCCAAAAATTATGAAAATCTATGCATTTTCAGATGAGCTCTGTGGAATTCTGCAAACACTATAATACATCAGAAAACTGTGGAATTTCAGACACAGATGGAGCAACAAGTGGCGACCTCTTGCCCAAAAGCGCGTATGGGATTCTTCATGAAAAACTTGGGATACACAAGCTGGAAGTAGAGACAAGGACAAGTAAACATGCAATTTTTGACATTACATTTCAACCTAAACAAACTCTCAACTCTTGTATTCTTCCGCCTCAAAATCATGAATATTCACCAAAACCTGGGTGAAAATGTATTTGCAAGCCCTTTTCTTCGATTCTACACCAAAAAGACAACGATAAATCGCCATGCAAAAGGGGGGAAAAAGGGAAAGGGAGAGAAGGACTAAAAATAACTTTCGCCCTACATTCCGGGTGACGGCGTAGAAATATTTGGTTAGCTGTGTTCATTAACTCTGTGAAACAGATTGAGTCCGTGCTTTCGTGAAACTGTTCAGTGGTAAATATTGACTTTGATGGTGTCTCTTTTGAAAGATCCCAAAGCGGTAACTACACTCATAATTCGGCAGGTGCGTGAATAGTTATACATTCTACTATTATATAGAGAATCACCTACGAGTCTCTTTTGATATCAAAAAATATCAACCCAAGTCGATAAAGTAAAAAAGTGAGGCTCTGCCGAGTTTTTTTTTTTTTTTGTTTTTGTTTTATTTTTTACTTTATCAACGAGTGTTGATATTATTTGATACCAAAAAAAGACGAGTAGGAGATTTTATTTATCGCCCAATCCTTTCTCACATGCACAAATAAATAAATATAATTCTTTGCTATAGACTTCACTTTTACTGAACCTGATTACATTACGGCGTAGGGATACATCATTTTTTGACAGCAATTCAGCCATTACGGGATATAAATGTATTGGTAAATGGTACCGGGGACAAGTTTGGCAGGCTTTGTGACGCTGCTGCACACTGGAGTCCAGCTATGAAACACTAGTATCATTATGTATAGCATTCGTTGTAAAACTAATTCGGAGAGATTTTGATTTGACATTTTTTTTCGTATTTTTAAAACAGGATTCGAAGTGTTTTGGTTATGTTCTGCAAAATCTTTTTCGACGTTCCAAAGTAAATATACGGTGCTAAGACCACCTAAAGATAAGTTTTTAATGTCACTACTATAAATTAGAACAGGTTTCGCTTTAGTTTTTATATTTAACACGGACATTTTATTGCATTAAATATCCCTAGTGCAAAGACGGAAATTTCACCTGTGACCTCCGGGGTCACTAAGACTAAAGGTGAATTTAGCAAGTTTACATTTTTATTGAAAGAGTGATTACTTTTGATCATTTTCAGCATATTTTCATGATGCAAGAATGGCTGTGCAAATGATCTCATTTGACCTTTGACACCGAATATCTCGAAAAAGCCGGACTGATTACCGCCCGGCATCGTATTCTACGCGAAATTTTACTACAAAAAAGTTGGGTCTGGTTTTGTGCCCATTTGATGGACACCGCCGCGCACTGAGCCTCCGGTCTAATACCAATCTAATCTTTAAGTGGCATTTATCGATTAAGAAACACAGTAACAGAGAACAATTTCTATGGGAAAATACTCACGGATTTTATTCTCATATCGTTATCAAAATACAATGACATTTAGTAAACTTGGGTTTAATATATAAGATATGCATGGTGAAATAGTGTACGTTACATGCTCTTATATACGATGGTCGGCCATCACATATAGTGTTACATGCTCTTATATAGACCGATCGGCAATCACATATCAAACACTGTGGACTTTTCACAAATAAATGGGAGGATATTGCCACACCCTGCATCGTTAAAAGCCAGACCGTGTAACATTAAACATTCTCCAACATTACTGGGGTTTCCAGGTGACCATGCGCCAGATATAATAGGCGATCCATCACTCCATTTCCACACCCCATCTACATCCAAATCATTACCACCAATCCAGTATGGGATCTCTAGTAAAATAAAACATTTTATTACTTTCAGTTAAAAATAATAATCGATCCTAGCCGGTGATCAAATAGAGGGTTTAACGTCCACTCGCCAAAAATTTAATCTGATTAAAACACAGATTCTACTTAGCTTCGTTTTGAATAGTTCAAATAATGGATAGCTAAACGTCCACAGATAAGGTCATTTCGAGATAAGCATATGGTTAAATATTTGGGGGTCACGGTGACTAAGTGGGCAAGACGCTGGCTGGCTAGCCTGGAGGTCGGGTTTTCGATCCTTGCATTGGCAGAGAAAGTTCATCCAGATTTTCGGGCGTGGTTCCCCCTTGTCAGTGATGCAGGACGGACGGCCTGACAAGGACATCTGTCTAGTCTTTCGGATCGTACGAAAAATCGAGGTCTCGTGCACACATTGGCGTGCATGTAAAAGATCCCTTGACAGTTGGAATTCGATATAAGAGTAGGCCGTAGTGGCGCTGTCCGGGCAAAATTTCCCTCATAGCACACTATATGTTTGGAGCCGAACAGTAGGACGTTAAACCCCATTTCATCTCCTCCGGTTAAATGTTATTTCAATAATTGGTTTTCGCATAAAGGTCTTTAGAAAACCTGAAGTCTCCTCTTGTCATTTACAAGCAGGCAATCGCAACCAAGCCACGTGACTCAATGACAGACCTTATGGTCTAAAGCGCTGACATTAGACCCCCCCCCCCCCAGCCACCCAAAACCCTTACAACGAAGAAAGGGGAGAGGGGGTGGATGACCGAATGGTTAGCGCGTTCGCTTTGTATCATAAGTTCTGTCATTGAATCAACTGGTTTCGACTCTTCGGTCGTGCGCGATAAGGTGTAGAGTCGCCTGTTCAACCTCGTGGGTTTTCGTCGGGTCCTACACGCGAGCAATATATTGCAATAAAACAAATGAACTATATGTTAATCCCGAAATGACCATGTTTGTGTCGTGTGAACGTTAAACATCATTTCTCCATTTCTCTCCCGGATCCATTCATTTGTTTATTTGGTGCAATGTCTATTTTCTGTCTTGTCCGCAGGTTTATCTTGTACATATTTGTTTTGTGTGTAGTGCGGTCCTCCTGCACTGACTATTAGTGTTATGTTGACACACAGGTATATGGCGTTACTATGGAACAATATTATCACCTGTAATCATAATTTGTAATTAACAAAGTTTGTTGACCAAAAAGTATGTTTATTGCTGAATCTGATAATATAAGTCGCCCGCCATCTTACCTGGTAGATTGATTGTCTCCAACACGTATTTTTTAACATCAAATACAACAGATCTCATGATGAGAAGATATCCGCCATCTTCATTACACGTGGTATTTGATGCCATCCAATCAGATGCTGGCTGTTCAACAGGCTTGATACAAAATAATCCACCAATGTATGCCGTGTAGCCTGGCAACTGACAAGTTTCTGTAAAATTAAATGAAATGAAAAGGGGTGTAACGTCCTACTGTTCTGCTCCAGTTAGGCTCATGAACGCGAGCATACGCCATACTTTGTGCTATGAGGAACATTGTGTCCGGGCAGCGGCACTGTGGCCTACTCTTATATCGAATTCCAACTGCCACGGGATCTTTTACGTGCATGCCTATGTTTACACGGGACCTTCTTTTTTGTCCCATCCGAACAACTAGACAGCTGTCCTTGTCAGACCCTCCTACCGGCACCACTGACAAGGGGGAAACGACGTCGGAAAAATCCCGATGTACTTTCTCGGCCAATGCAGGGATCGAACATGCGACCTCCAGGCTAGTGAGTCAGCATCTTACCCACTTAGTCACTGCGGCTCCCAAACTATCCATAAAAAGAAGATACAATGTAATAGGTGTAGCCCGGCAACTGAACGGTATTAGTAGAAAAAAGATGCATGTGCTACATCAAAATATGAAAACATGGAAATCGTGTCACTTAGCAATAAGGTATGTCATTCAAAACCTCAAGGGGGATCGTATGGCCGAATGGTTAGCACGTGCTGTCATTGAGTCAACTGGCGGGGTTTCCATTCCCCGGTCGCCTGTCAAATCTCGTGGGTTTTCTCCGTGGGTGGGGTGGGGTGGATGGCCGAATGGTTAGCACGTGCGCGCTGTATCATAAGGTTTGTCATTGAGTCAACTGGCGTGGTTGCAATCCCTGAATGTACGTGACAAGGAGTAGAGTCCCCTATCCAGCATCCAACCTTGTCGGTTTTCTACGGGTCTTCTGGTTTCCTCCCACTGCTAAAGACTATTGAAATAAAATTGAACCATGTGTTAGTCCCGAAATGACCAAGATTGTGACGAGTGGACGTTAAACCCCATTTCTCTATGTATTGTACCGACTTTAGTAATGCTGTTCGAGGCTAGGCCCGAAATACAATTGCTAAAATTTTCAGCAAATTACCTTTACATTATTATCTAGTTTTTAACTATTATAGTGAAAACTGTCAGCTCTTTATCTAATTTCCCATAATGCATCTTTAAATGAAATGAAATGGGGCTTAACATACTACAAATGTTGGCTTAACGCCGTGTACTAATTCTAAACATACCTTTCACTGTAACATCTACATATATAGAATTAACAGTCACTGATCCAAGTCCATGATTTACTGTATTTAGTATGGAACATGAGTTGTTTTGGTAGTTGAACAATCTACATCCGGGTATAGAAGAACAGAGACGTCCACATTCAATTGGTGTAACGCCTTCATATGACAGGCTATAATCCATAACCACATTATCATCAAGCTTGTGGTTCTTGTACATGATGTTAGTCGTGGTGGGAATGTTGATGCTGGACGGGAGTATGCTGCGAGTAGTTGGTCCAGGGGAATCAGTGGTTGGAGCGGGTGTAGATGGTCTGTTTGTAGTAATGACTGGTTCGAGTACATAAAAGTCTACAGCGGATGTAGTTGTTGTTGGAGAGGGTGTAGATGGTCTGTTTGTAGTAATGACTGGTTCGGGTACATAAAAGGCTACAGTGGATGTAGTTGTTGTTGGAGGCGATGTAGTTGTTGTTGGAGCCGATGTAGTTGTTGTTGGAGCCGATGTAGTTGTAGTTGGAGCGAGTTTAGTTGGTCTAGGGGTAGTAGTAGTAGTAGCGCTGCTTATGGAGTCTACAGTGGTTAGGATAATACCCATAAACGCGTACAACTGATTAATGTGTAGTTTGATCGACAATGGCTTCATTTTCTTGTTGAAATTACTAAATCTTGCTTCAGCTTCTTTCTACTAACTCTATTAAAGGACAATATCAAATGCAGACTTCTATATAGCAGGTATAGTCTCTTGTGACTGAATCTTGAATGAAGACGTTTGTTTATTAAACAATGTACCCGTAACTGCAGAGGAAATCAAACTCGATAAAGCGTGTATAATTTAGGGTACAGAATAATAGACATTACACTACAATAAAGGTGATGACTGGGGAATTCAACTAATCATTTATTAATTGATTGTGCCGATTTCAATGCCATGATAATGATAAGATCTTATTATTGACAGTTGAAATCATGATTTAAATGATACATCTTATAATTGACTGTAGAAAGGAAAATAAAATGTCCAACAGTTCTGCTCCGATTGGGCCAATGAAGCGTAAACCATTTAAAATTTCAAACGTTACACAGAAACACAGCATTGTAAACATATATCTAATGTGTCCTAATTATTTACATGAAACAAATATACATCTATGCATTAACCCATTGTAAATAAAAAGGCGATTCTACTCCTTATCACGCATGACCGGGAATCGTAACCACGCCAGTGGACTCAATGACAGAACTTATGATACAACGCGCAAGCGCTAACCATTCTTCGGTACCCCCCACCCATCTTCCTCCCCTCCCCCTCCCTCAGCGCATTAGACCATAAGGTCTGTCATTGAATCACTCGGCTTGGTTGCGATTGCCTACTTGTAAATGGCAAGGGGTCTCCATGTTTCTGCTAAAGCCAATTATTGAAATAAAATTTAAATGCTTATTCAGAAATGACCTAATCTGTGGACGTTAAACCCTGTATTTGATCACCGGCTATAGGATCGATTATTATTTTTTTAATTGAAAGTAATAAAATGTTTTATTTTAATAGAGATCCCCTACTGGATTGGTGGTAATGATTTGGATGAAGAGGGGGAGTGGAAATGGAGTGATGGATCGCCTATTATATCTGACGCGTGGTCACCGGGAAAACCCAGTAATGCCGGGAATTGTTTAATGTTACACGGTCTGGCTTTTAACGATCCAGAGTGTGACAATATCCTCCCATAGAAATTGTTCTCTGTTAGCGTGTTTCTTAATCGCTAAATGTCACTTAAAGATTACATTGGTATGTTAATTGATGTAAGATAGTAATATTAAATTTGGAATTTTATAATACCATATTTTGTGTTTACGTCCATCTGGACAATTCTATGTTTATATCCATCCTAACAATTCTATGTTTATGTCCATGCTAACAATTCTATGTTGATGTCCATCCTAACAAGTCTATGTTTATGTCCATCCTAACAATTCTATGTTGATGTCCATGCTAACAAGTCTATGTTTATGTCCATCCTAACAATTCTATATTTATGTCCATGCTAACAATTCTATGTTGATGTCCATCCTAACAAGTCTATGTTGATGTCTATCCTAACAATTCTATGTTTATGTCCATCCTAACGATTCTATGTTGATGTCCATCCTAACAAGTCTATGTCCATCCTTACAATTCTATAACAATTCTATGTCCATCCTTACAATTCTATGTCCATCCTTACAATTAAATGTCCATCCTAACAATTCTATGTCCATCCTAATAATTTTGTGTTTATGACATCCTGATGTGTAATACAATATGTATAAACTTGTAGGGGCCACTCTTCATATGGAACAGATGCATCTGTAATAATGTGTTTATAAACATATAGGGGCCACTCTTCATATCGAAATGAAATGAAATGGGGTTTAACGTCCTACTGTTCTGCTCCTAACCTGGGCTAATGAAGACGGGCATACGTCATACAGTGTGTTATCAGGAAAATTTTGCCCAGGCAGCGGCGCTACGGCCTACTCTTATATCGAATTCCAACTGCCAAGGGATCTTTTACGTGCACGATCATGTGTACACGGGACCTCGGTTTTTCGCCTCACCTGAACTACTAGACAGCTGTCCTTGTCAGGCCCTACATCCTGCATCACTGACAAGGGGAAACCACGCCGGAAAATCTGAATGAACTTTCTCGGCCAATGCTGGGATCGAACATGCGACCTCCAGGCTAGTGAGTCAGCATCTTACCCACTTAGTCACTGCGGCTCCCAAACTATCCATAAAAAGAAGATACAATGTAATAGGTGTAGCCCGGCAACTGAACGGTATTAGTAGAAAAAAGATGCATGTGCTACATCAAAATATGAAAACATGGAAATCGTGTCACTTAGCAATAAGGTATGTCATTCAAAACCCCAAGGGGGATCGTATGGCCGAATGGTTAGCACGTGCTGTCATTGAGTCAACTGGCGGAGTTTCCATTCCCCGGTCGCCTGTCCAATCTCGTGGGTTTTCTCCGTGGGTGGGGTGGGGTGGATGGCCGAATGGTTAGCACGTGCGCGCTGTATCATGAGGTTTGTCATTGAGTCAACTGGCGTGGTTGCAATCCCTGAATGTACGTGACAAGGAGTAGAGTCCCCTATCCAGCATCCAACCTTGTCGGTTTTCTACGGGTCTTCTGGTTTCCTCCCACTGCTAAAGACTATTGAAATAAAATTGAACCATGTGTTAGTCCCGAAATGACCAAGATTGTGACGAGTGGACGTTAAACCCCCTTTCTCTATGTATTGTACCGACTTTAGTAATGCTGTTCGAGGCTAGGCCCAAAATACAATTGCTAAAATTTTCAGCAAATTACCTTTACATTATTATCTAGTTTTTAACTATTATAGTGAAAACTGTCAGCTCTTTATCTAATTTCCCATAATGCATCTTTAAATGAAATGAAATGGGGCTTAACATACTACAAATGTTGGCTTAACGCCGTGTACTAATTCTAAACATACCTTTCACTGTAACATCTACATATATAGAATTAACAGTCACTGATCCAAGTCCATGATTTACTGTATTTAGTATGGAACATGAGTTGTTTTGGTAGTTGAACAATCTACATCCGGGTATAGAAGAACAGAGACGTCCACATTCAATTGGTGTAACGCCTTCATATGACAGGCTATAATCCATAACCACATTATCATCAAGCTTGTGGTTCTTGTAGATGATATTAGTCGTGGTGGGAATGTTGATGCTGGACGGGAGTATGCTGCGAGTAGTTGGTCCAGGGGAATCAGTGGTTGGAGCGGGTGTAGATGGTCTGTTTGTAGTAATGACTGGTTCGGGTACATAAAAGTCTACAGCGGATGTAGTTGTTGTTGGAGAGGGTGTAGATGGTCTGTTTGTAGTAATGACTGGTTCGGGTACATAAAAGGCTACAGTGGATGTAGTTGTTGTTGGAGGCGATGTAGTTGTTGTTGGAGCCGATGTAGTTGTTGTTGGAGCCGATGTAGTTGTAGTTGGAGCGAGTTTAGTTGGTCTAGGGGTAGTAGTAGTAGTAGCGCTGCTTATGGAGTCTACAGTGGTTAGGATAATACCCATAAACGCGTACAACTGATTAATGTGTAGTTTGGGTTTGGGTACATAAAAGGCTACAGTGGATGTAGTTGTTGTTGGAGCCGATGTAGTTGTTGTTGGAGCCGATGTAGTTGTAGTTGGAGCGAGTTTAGTTGGTCTAGGGGTAGTAGTAGTAGTAGCGCTGCTTATGGAGTCTACAGTGGTTAGGATAATACCCATAAACGCGTACAACTGATTAATGTGTAGTTTGATCGACAATGGCTTCATTTTCTTGTTGAAATTACTAAAACGTTGATCTTGCTTCAGCATCTTTCTACTAACTCTATTAAAGGACAATATCAAATGCAGACTTCTATATAGCAGGTATAGTCTATTGTGACTGAATCTTGAATGAAGACGTTTGTTTATTAAACAATGTACCCGTAACTGCAGAGGAAATCAAACTCGATAAAGCGTGTATAATTTAGGGTACAGAATAATAGACATTACACTACAATAAAGGTGATGTCTGGGGAATTCAACTAATCATTTATTAATTGATTGTGCCGATTTCAATGCCATGATAATGATAAGATCTTATTATTGACAGTTGAAATCATGATTTAAATGATACATCTTATAATTGACTGTAGAAAGGAAAATAAAATTTCCTACAGTTCTGCTCCGATTGGGCCAATGAAGCGTAAACCATTTAAAATTTCAAACGTTACACAGAAACACAGCATTGTAAACATATATCTAATGTGTCCTAATGCATTTACCCATTGTAAATAAAAAGGCGATTCTATTCCTTATCACGCATGACCGGGAATCGTAACCACGCCAGTGGACTCAATGACAGAACTTATGATACAACGCGCACGCGCTAACCATTCTTCGGTACCCCCCACCCATCTTCCTCCCCTCCCCCTCCCTCAGCGCATTAGACCATAAGGTCTGTCATTGAATCACTCGGCTTGGATGCGATTGCCTACTTGTAAATGGCAAGGGGTCTCCATGTTTCTGCTAAAGCCAATTATTGAAATAAAATTTAAATGCTTATTCAGAAATGACCTAATCTGTGGACGTTAAACCCTGTATTTGATCACCGGCTACAGGATCGATTATTATTTTTTTAATTGAAAGTAATAAAATGTTTTATTTTAATAGAGATCCCCTACTGGATTGGTGGTAATGATTTGGATGAAGAGGGGGAGTGGAAATGGAGTGATGGATCGCCTATTATATCTGACGCGTGGTCACCGGGAAAACCCAGTAATGCCGGGAATTGTTTAATGTTACACGGTCTGGCTTTTAACGATCCAGAGTGTGACAATATCCTCCCATAGAAATTGTTCTCTGTTAGCGTGTTTCTTAATCGCTAAATGTCACTTAAAGATTACATTGGTATGTTAATTGATGTAAGATAGTAATATTAAATTTGGAATATAATACCATATTTTGTGTTTACGTCCATCTGGACAATTCTATGTTTATATCCATCCTAACAATTCTATGTTGATGTCCATGCTAACAATTCTATGTTGATGTCCATCCTAACAAGTTTATGTTTATGTCCATCCTCACAATTCTATGTTGATGTCCATCCTAACAAGTCTATGTTTATGTCCATCCTAACAATTCTATGTTTATGTCCATGCTAACAATTCTATGTTGATGTCCATCCTAACACGTCTATGTTGATGTCCATCCTAACAATTCTATGTTTATGTCCATGCTAACAATTCTATGTTGATGTCCATCCTAACAAGTCTATGTTGATGTCCATCCTAACAATTCTATGTTTATGTCCATCCTAACGATTCTATGTTGATGTCCATCCTAACAAGTCTATGTCCATCCTTACAATTCTATAACAATTCTATGTCCATCCTTACAATTCTATGTCCATCCTTACAATTATATGTCCATCCTAACAATTCTATGTCCATCCTAATAATTTTGTGTTTATGACATCCTGATGTGTAATACAATATGTATAAACTTGTAGGGGCCACTCTTCATATGGAACAGATGCATCTGTAATAATGTGTTTATAAACATATAGGGGCCACTCTTCATATCGAAATGAAATGAAATGGGGTTTAACGTCCTACTGTTCTGCTCCTAACCTGGGCTAATGAAGACGGGCATACGTCATACAGTGTGTTATCAGGGAAATTTTGCCCAGGCAGCGGCGCTACGGCCTACTCTTATATCGAATTCCAACTGCCAAGGGATCTTTTACGTGCACGATCATGTGTACACGGGACCTCGGTTTTTCGCCCCACCCGAACTACTAGACAGCTGTCCTTGTCAGGCCCTACATCCTGCATCACTGACAAGGGGAAACCACGCCGGAAAATCTGAATGAACTTTCTCGGCCAATGCTGGGATCGAACACCCGACAGATTCATGTGTTTATAAACTGTATACATTTGTAAATGAAATACTATGGTATGTTAGTAAGTTTCTTTTGGTTCCTTTCTAACAAACTTAAGTTTGACCCTTTCCTCAGTGATGGATGGTCCTGTCACACTATTGGATATGCGAGAAAGGTATACGCGTGGAAATACAGAATTGTTCGTATACATACCGTTCTCAAGTAGCTGCAATCATAAACATTCTAAGCTACATTGGAATGATACGTGCGCGCTGTATCATACGGTCTGTCATTGAGTCAACTGGCGTGATTTCGAATCCCCGGTAGTACGTGACAAGGAGTAGGGTCGCAAGAGCTAAATCTGTCTATTGCAGATCTTTCTTTGGGCCTGAAATGTTATCTAAATTCTTAATTATACATTAATCAACTCATTCAGACCATAATAAACTCTCGATGTCATCGCTAGTCTGCGATATTTACTGGGTTGGGATCCGATCTGCTGCTCTACGCTCATTCATGATTAAATCAAATATGGATAATCGAGACTATGTATTTTATCGTACCGACTTTAGTAATGATGATCGTGGATAGGCCCAAAATTCAATCGCTAAATTCTCGGTTCAGAGTTGATCAATTTGACTGAAATTTTCAGCAAATTCACCTTACATTATCTAGTTTTTAACTATTATAGGGAAGTTATTTTTAGCAACCGTATTGAATTTGATCGCCTAACATATATACGTCAAGGGAAATGAAATGAAATGAAATGAAATGAAATGGGGTTTAACGTCCTACTGTTCTGCTCCTATGCTGGGCTAATGAAGACGGGCATACGCCATAGAGTGTGCTATGAGGGAAATTTTGCCCGGGCAGCGGCACTATCGCCTACTCTTATATCGAATTCCAACTGCCAAGGGATCTTTTATGTGCATTCCAATGTATACACGGGACCTCGGTTTTTCGTCTCATCCGAACCGAAGGAATAGACAGCTGTCCTTGTCAGGCACTCCGTCCTGCATCACTGACAAGGGGGAACCACGCCGGAAAATCTGGATGAACTTTATCGGCCAATGCAGGGATCGAACACCCGACCTCCAGGCTAGCAAGCCAGCGTCTTACCCACTTAGCCACGTGATCCCCATACTTCAAGGGATATAGTCAAGATGAAGCGCTTACGTCCCCTCGGAATTTCATTTTAATAATCAAGATAACTACCATTAATGTTTGAATGAACCGGGGCTTAACGTCCTACAGTTCTGCATCGTTCGGGCTAATGAAGACTATTATAACAAGATATTGATTTCGTCAATCTGATTAAATCACAGATCCTATTTCGTTTCGTTTTTTATGGTTCAAAATTTCTTTTTACTTGTCTTCACAACACTAAGATCTTGAAGAGAGAGAGAGAGAGAGAGAAATGGGGTTTAACGTCCACTCGACACAAACTAGGTCATTTCGGGACTAACATATGGTTTAATTTTATTTACATAATTCGCTTGCGCGTAGGGGTCTTTAGCAGTGGGAGGAAACCGGAGGCCCCTTGCCACGTACAACCGGGGATTCGAAACCACGCCAGTCGACTCAATGACAGACTTTATGATACAGCGCGCGCACGCTAACCATTCAGCCATCCACCCCCCCCCCCCCTCGGATGGCGTTCTAGTCAATGTCCGGAATTAGTCAATGAAACGGTCGGTTACGGCGAGTTCTTGGCGTGCCTTGCGCGGAACTGTGGGTAAACCCTATTAACGTCAACGCTGATTGATTAATCCATAGAAATATAGAAATATACTATGGATTAATCAATGTCTGACGTCATAGGGTCAAAAGTCCCTGACGCGACCTCCCAGTATATCTAGTTAGATCTTCATCTAGTGTAGGCCATCGAAAGTCTAAAAAAACGAAACGAAATATAGATATGTATTTCAATCAGATTGTATATTTATCACATGTTTACTTTATTCGAAGACAAATATAAAACTTTATATAAAAATCTTAAAGATACATTATGTAAGATTTAGATAAAGAGCTGACCGTTCTTGCTATAATAGCTCAAAAATGGATAATGTAAAATGAAAATATTGAAAATTTCGTTCAAATTACTTCATTCTGAGCCAAGTTATCGCTGTTTGTAGTTTTGACAAGATGTGCCGTGCATAGTAGTAACCAGGGCACTGGTATATTCGAGACTTATCCTCGCTTTCCCATTTTTAAATTAAATTTTTAATTGGGAACCGTTCTAATCTAGTTAAAATCTCGAGTATCCGATGTCATTGAGAGTTGATTATGGTCTTGTTTTGTTAATTAATTTCTAATTAATAGTTTATATAACATTTCAGGTCCGACTGGTGTGGTTTCGATTCCCCGGTTGTACGTGACGAGGAGTAGAGTCGCCTGTACAACCTCGTGGGTTTTCTCCTGGTCCTCCGGTTTCCTCCCACTGCTAAAGAACCATACGCGCAAGCGAATTATGGAAATATGTTAATCCCGAAATGACCTAGTTTGTGTCGAGTGGACGTTAAACCCCATTTTTTTTCTCTCTCTCTCTCTCTCTCTCTCTCTCTCTCTCCGACAATATATTGGCCTACATCACTGAACTTCCTTGGCCAACACCGGGATCGAACAAGGGAACCCTGACTTAACAATCTAACGACCTACTCACAGAATAGTACATAATAATATAACACCAGAAAGAATGATAAAACACTTTGTATTTTATATACACCAATCTACACTTAAACCTGTGGATTTATTTACAATACAATGAACACTGGTATGAGAGAAAACACTTTCTATCTATTAAACACTCGATTCTATTGACAATTATTTCTATTATAATATGAATACCAACACTAAACAATCAACAAACGGACTAATATATATATGATCTCTCTGTATGTATATATACAATACAATACGCCTAGTTGTTAGTTACACAAGATCCACGTCTATTTGCCTTTATCGACCTACAGGTAATATATATTTACAAATATTGATATTATTTACGGCTGTAGTCTGATATTATTTATGTTTTGTGTGTTTAATACTTCTAATTTAATTAAACATCATCTTTTATTTTATTATTTTAAAGGACTAGAGGGGTCGTGTGGTCTACCGCGTGCGTTTTAGATAATAAACTTTGATATCAAGTCGAGGGGCGTGGTTTCGATTCCTACACTTGTGGGTGACAAGGTGTAGAGTAGTCAATCTGCAATTCACTGCTTAAATAGAGAGAGAGAGAGAGAGATATGGGGTTCAACGTCCACTCGACACAAACCAGGTCATTTTAGGACTAACACACGGAGAAAACCCATGAGGTTGTACAGTCACTGCTAAAGACTCCTATATATGTAGCTAATTGTTGGAATATATATAACTGAACCATTTTTAGTGCCGAAATGACCTAGTCGAGGTTAAAACTCCTTCTATAGCACATGATTATGAAATGATGTGTGGTTTAACGACCTACTGTTCTGCTCCAAACTGGGCTAATGAAGAAGGGCATACGCCATACAGTGTGCTATGCGGGAAATTTTTCCCGGACAGCGGCACTACGGCCTAATCTTATATTGAATTCCAACAGTCAAAGGATTTTTACGTACACGCCAATGTATACATGGGACCTCGGTTTTTCGTCCCATCCGAACTACTAGACTGCTGTCCTTGTCAGGCCCTCCGTCCTGAATCACTGACAAGGCACATGATTTGAATGTGCATAAACTGTGAATATTCTTATACGAGGTTTGACAAGGTTCCGCCATCCTTTCCAATATCACTGATTGTATTTTTGAATGACTTTGTGTTGTATTTTAAAGCGAATTATAAACCGTTTATCAACTGATACGAGGTTTGACAAGGTTCCCTCACCTTTCCAATATCATTCATTGTATTTGTGAATGACCTTATGTTTTATTTTAATACGAATTATAAGCCGTCTATGAACTGACGTTGAAACGAGATTTGACAGGGTTCACTCACCTTTCCAGTAAGATTGATTGTCTTTTAATTTAATACGCATTATAAACGCTGTCCCGTGTTTAATATTGGATGATATTTATTTCTATATGTCGTACGAGGGTGTTGCTTCAACTGTGTTTAAATTATCATTTTACTTTTACTCCTATTTTATTGGCATTTGAGGGTAAATGAATATTGTTCTTTATTGTTGAAAGCCTGGTTCGTTCAGGAATTTTAATGGCTACAGTGCATACAGTTTTTTCTGTTGATAAACGATAGGGAGCCACGTTGGCTAAGTGGGTAGGACGCTGGCTCGCTAGCCTAGAAGTCGCGTGTACGATCATCGGAATTTTCCGGCGTGGTTTCCCCTTGTCAGTGGTCAAGGACGGAGGGACTGGCAAGGATAACAGCTTGGGATGGGAGGCGTGCACGTAAAAGATCCCTTGGCAGTTGGAATTCGATATAAGTGTAGACTATAGTGCCGCTGCCAGGGCAAATTTTCCTCATAGCATATACATGGGTCCACGGTTTATCGTCCGATCTGAATGACTAGACAGCTGTCCTTGTCAGGCCCTCTATCCTGCACCACTGTATTCACCTGAAAGTTTATCTACATTCAACAATGGTATAAACAAGTTTCTCTGTTCATAATAAATGTGTTTTAAAGATACATTAAGGGGGATTAGATAAAGAGCTGGCAGTTAAATAGTTAAAAACTAGATAATGCTCCATTTTGATCGAGATATTAGCGTTTCAATTTTAGATATAGCCTCGATCATCATTACTAAAGTCGGAACGATAAAAAACATTGTCTCGATCATCCATTTTTGAATTAAATGATCGTTGACCACAAATCGAATTCAAATTCATAGAAAATCTGACACATAAGATGACATCTAGAGTTGATAAAGGTCTTTTCATGTTAATTAATATCTAATTAATAATGTATATAATATTTCAGGCCTAAGAAAGACCTGCAATAGGTAGATTTATCTCTTGCATAATGTATGTTTAATTAAAAAGTTCAATAAATCTGACTGTTGTTACAGATATTGATTGATTACAGATATTGATTGATTATATATATTGATTGATTACGTATATTTATTGATTACAGATATTGATTGATTACCGATATTGATCGATTATAGATATTGATCGATTACAGGTATTGATTGATTACAGATATTGATTGGTTACAAATATTGATTATTGATTACAGATATTGATTATTAATCAATAAATATGTTATCAGAACATAAAGAAATCTTACAACAAGAGAAGACGAGTTTAACAGCTTTATTAAATACAGTTGATTTCCCCCATGTTTTACAAGATCTGGTTAAACAACAAGTTATCAGTAACTATATGAGAAGTGATATATTGGTTAGTATCTATTGTACATGATAGAAAGGGAGAGAAATAGGGTTTAACGTCCATTCGACACAAACTTAGTCATTTCGGGACTAACATATGGTTCAATTTTAGTGCAATAAATCGCTTGCGCGCAGGGGTCTTCAGCAGTGGGGGGAAAATCGGAGGACCCAGAGAAGAGATATGAGTTTGGACAGGCGACCCTACTCCTTGTCATATATAACCCGGGAATCGAAACCATGCCAGTTGAATCAATGACAGACCTTATAGGATACAACGCGCACGCGCTAACCATTCGACCATTGCGATTGTTACGTCAGCTGAATAATGATGGATGCTTTCAAATGTTTCAGTTAATATAAAATATCCTTTAACCCTCTGCCCTCCATGACATTGATGTAGCCTACTTGAGAATGCTATAATAATCCGAGAGCTTTATTGGTCTAGACTCAATTTTTACACCTGGGTCGAGAGAATCATATGTTTTTAATAGCAATTATGGCGTTTTAATTTATTTTCAGTGTCAATCTCCACAACATGAACAGATATTTCTTCTGGTGGATATTCTGGCAACATCTGGTGATAAATCATTTGATATCTTCTACCAAATACTGAAAACACATGGTTACAAAACTGCTGCCGCATTACTTAAACCAAATGACTTTGAATTAGTTGAAGCGGATGGTGACGTTGATGGTTTGCTATCACAGCGGTTTATTGGTTATAACCACAGAGAAGTAACACGATATGAAGCCAGTTACACAGCTCGAGCTGTAGCCAGGGCCAGGGCCGAGAAAGAATTTAAAGCGGAAAATGATCTCCGATCACGAGAAAAGGAAATACGAGCTTTAACGGCGGGATATGAAGCACATTTACGACGTAGAAATAAAGGTGCTGCTGGACGTGATATTTATGACAGGATTGAATCTGTATATTCTGATCTACCGACAGGTAAATAATATGATTTATGTTGGGGGTTGGATGGCCGGTATAATTTCAATTACATGTATTTGTCCAGCTTGTTTTAGGGGGTTGGATGGCCGAATGGTTAGCGCGTGCGCGCTGTATCATAAGGTCTGTCATTGAGTCAACTGGCGTGGTTTTAATTTCCCGGTTGTACGTGACAAGGAGTAGGTCCCCTTTCTAACCTCGTGGGTTTTCTCCGGGTCCTCCGGTTTCCTCCCATGGCTAAAGACCCCTACGCGCAAGCGAATTAATAAAATAAAACTGAACCATATGTTAGTCCCGAAATGACCTAGTTTGTGTCGAATTGACGTTAAACAACATTCCCCTCTCTATATATATATGATTTATGTTGCACATTCTCCTATCTGAAGAATGATCTTCTATGCCCCATTACACAACCAATAATATCAGAGGGTTGGCTATATAAAGCTGTTCGGTTGGGTTTATTTTTAGCTGTACAAATTCGATTGTAAATCCCAGCAGTGATTTAGTCACGGTTACCTCTGAATGAGAAAGAATAATTTTCTCCAAAAATAACGGAGGTTGGGAAACTGTTCCATGGTATATAGAATTGAAGAGTCGTGTTCGTAATTTTGGTTACCTACATAATAATTGAACAGAGGGAGAGAGAGAGAGAGAGAGGGGGAGAGAAATGGGGTTTCACGTCCACTCGGCACAAATTAGGTCATTTCGGTACTAACAGATGGTACAATTTTATTTCCATAATTCGCTTGCGTGTAGGGGTCCTTAGCAGTGGGAGGAAACCGGAGAACCCGTAGAAAACCCACGAGGTTTGACAGGCGATCCTACTCATTGCACGTACAACTTGGGAATCGAATGCATGGCAGTTGACTCAATGACAGACCTTATGATACAGCGCGCACGTGCTAACCATTCAGCCATCTAACCCCCCTAGTTTATGTTTTCACAGTTGTCGATTGTAAACTTAACAATTTTTTTAAGCATTGGTTACATCACCTTTTTCGGGGTAGTGTGTGTGGGTGTGTGTGTTGGGGGTGGGGGGCCAATAGTAATCAACAATGACGGTATTTTTGTATTTCAGAATGGCCTCTACCCGAGCGATGTCATGAGAACTATTATAAATATATTCAAGTTAACACGGATACATGTAAAGATATGATACATAAATACAATATATCATCAACTGGTCATCATAAACAGGCTAGTCAATTCTTTCATTAACAGTTCTATAAATATTGCTTGTTGTATTTATATATCCTGGGCTGTGGAGGGGAGTTGGACGGCCGAATGGTTATTAGCACGTGCGCACTACACCACAATGTCTGTCATTGAGTCAACTGCCGTGGTTTAGGATTCCCCGGTTTTGATTACGTGACAAGGAGTAGGGTCGAATGTCCAACTCTGGTTTCCTCCCACTGCCTACTGTATTTATTTAACTCTGTTATCCTCTCGCCCCACCTAAGCCTACTGTTTTTATTTAACTCTGTTATCCTCCCGCCCCAGGTAACCTACTGTTTTTATTTAACTCTGTTATCCTCCCGCCCCAGTTAAGCCTACTGTATTTATTCAACTCTGTTAGCCTCCCGCCCCAAATAAGCCTACTGTTTTTACTTAACTCTGTTAGCCTCCCGCCCCAGTTAAGCCTACTGAATTTATTTAACTCTGTTATCCCCCCACCCCACCTAAGCCTACTGTATTTTTTTAACTCTGTTATCCTCCCGCCCCAACTAAGCCTACTGTTTTTATTTAACACTGTTTTCCTCTCACCCCAACAAAGCCTACTGTTTTCATTTAACTCTGTTATCCTCCCACCCCATCTAAACCTACTGTATTTATTTAACTCTGTTAGCCTCCCGCCTCAAATAAGCCTACTGTTTTACTTAACTCTGTTATCCTCCCGCCCCAACTAAGCCTACTGTTTTATTTAACTATGTTATCCTCCCACCCCACCTAAGCCTACTGTATTTATCTAACTCTGTTATCTTCCCACCCTACCTAAGCCTACTGTATTTATTTAACTCTGTTAGCCTCTCGCCCCACCTAAGCCTGCTGTATTTATTTAACTCAGTTAGCCTCTCGCCCCACCTGCGCCTGCTGTATTTATTTAACTCTGATATCCTCCCGCCCCACCTAAACCTACTGTGTTTATTTAACTCTGTTATACTCTCGCCCCAAATGAGCCTACTGTTTTTACTTAACTCTGTTATACTCTCGCCCCAACTAAGCCTACTGTTATTAATTAACTCGGTTATCCTACCGCCCCATCTAAGCCTACTGTATTTATTTAACTCTGTTATACTCCCACCCCACCTAAGCCTACTGTATTTGTTTAACTCTGATATCCTCCCGCCCAACCTAAGCCTTCTGAATTTATTTAACTATGTTAGCCTCCCGCCCTACCTACGCCTACTGTTATTAATTAACTCGGTTATCCTACCGCCCCATCTAAGCCTACTGTATTTATTTAACTCTGTTATACTCCCACCCCACCTAAGCCTACTGTATTTATTTAACTCTGTTATCCTCCCGCCCAACCTAAGCCTTCTGTATTTATTTAACTATGTTAGCTTCCCGCCCCACCTACGCCTACTGTATGTATATCACTCTGTTATCCTCCGCCTCACCTACTGTATTTATTTAACTCTATTGTCCTCCCGCCCCACCTAAGCCGTTTTTATTTAACTCTGTTATATCCCCACCCCACCTAAGCCTACTGTATTTATTTAACTATGTTGTCCTCCCGCCCCACCTACTGTTTTTATTTAACTATGTTATCCACTCACCCCACCTAAGCCTACTGTTATTTATTTAACTCTGTTATTTATCTACCTCTGTTATTTATTTAACTCTGTTATTTGTATTCCGTAGATCTATAAGATGTCTGCAGCACCTCGAGGCTATCTTCTGGTTATAAATAATAAACACTTCCCTGCTAATGATGAGGGACAGGATATGACAAGACAGGGTTCAGATATAGATGTAGCAGCTATACAGGTTCTATTTAAACAGCTGAATTTTACTGTCGATGTACGGTCAGATTTAACAGCTCAGGTAAAATAGATTCAAATATTTTACACACATATATACCCGATGGATGTAGAATAACACACTACTGATATTCCCTCTGTTAATGTGGAATAACACACCGCTGATATTCCCTCTGTTGTTGATGTGGAATAACACACCGCTGATATTCCCTCTGTTGTTGATGTGGAATAACACACCGCTGATATTCCCTCTGTTGTTGATGTGGAATAACACACCGCTGATATTCCCTCTGTTGTTGATGTGGAATAACACACCGCTGATATTCCCTCTGTTGTTGATGTGGAATAACACACCGCTGATATTCCCTCTGATATAACGTCTGCTTCCACTAAAGTGATATCGCAGGATTTGTGGACTTATCACAGCTCCGCTTGTAATGCTAACTGTCGTAACAAATATTTTTATATCATATCTTTAAGCACCATATGTTTAGTATTATTTAAATTGCAAATGGATGCTCAATTCTATTTCTTCAAATGTGGTATAAATAAACAGTTTTTATTTACTTTTTGATAATTTTACGTAATATTTGGCGGATTCAATCCGTATCAGTTTAATAGTTCAACAAAAAACAAAAAAAACAAAATAAAATTCTTGTGTTAAAGGTTCCCATTCATCAGGTCTAGAACGACGTGAATAGATGAAATAAATCCCTTGCTAATTAAGCTCATTACACACATTTAATAGATCGTTTGGCATGCAATGGCGACTCATATGGATAACTCTTATAATTCGCATTTCGACACAGTTCACCAAATATTTCTACGGCGTCACCAAATATTTCTACGGCGTCACCCAGGAATGTAGGACGAAAGATATTTTTAGTTCTTCTCTCCCTTTCCCTTTTTCCCACTTTGCATGGCGATTTTTGTTGACGTTTTGGTGACGTTTTGCCAGGATTAGGTGATTATTTATGATTTTGAGGCGGATGGATACAAGAGTTGAGAGATTGATTAGGTTGAAATGTATTGCGGAAAATTGCATGTTTAATTGTCTCTACTTCCAGCTTGTGTATCTCAAGTTTTTCATGGTGAACCTCATACGTGCTTTTGGGCAAGAGGGTGCCACATGTTGTTCCATCTGTGGTAGAAAGCGTTCTACCCAACGAAAATTTGGGAAAAAGTTAGAGTCGGTCTAAGAGACGAGGGAAATCATTAGTGCTCTGTAGCCATGTCCCGCCAGTGTCTTCGGGATTTCACTGTACTGTGTGATCCGAATTATTGTAACGATCCCGTACGATGTCGGATGTGACAGAGTCCACTGTATTTGTTTGTTAAATTATATTTACAGGAGATGCGAGAGACATTGGTTGAGTATAGTCAGATGAACCACACCCAGTATGATTGTTTCATCTGTATCATAGCATCCCATGGTGATGATGGTGGTATAGTTTGTACAGATCGTCATACAATACCACATGACGAGGTCTACGAATATTTTGATCATGAACACTGTCCAACTTTAAAAAACAAACCAAAGATCTTTCTTATTCAAGCCTGTTTTGGAGGTTAGATTTTTTATAGATCTGTCTAATTTTTATCATATCGTTATTTATGTTTAGTGATGTTGACACCACGTCTATTGGTCTAAGTGGGTAAGTGGGTAAGTGGGTAAGACGCTGGCTCGCTAGCCTGGAGGTCGGGTGTTCAATCCCTGCATTGGCCGAGAAAGTTCATCCAGATTTTCCGGCGTGGTCCCACCCCCTTGCCAGTGATGTAGGACGGAGGGCATGACAAGGACAGCGGTGTATTCGTTCCGATGGGGCGAAAAACCGAGGTCCCGTGCACACATTGGCGTGCACGTAAAAGATCCCTTGACAGTTGGAATTCGATATAAGAGGAGGCCGTAGTGCCGCTGTCCGGGCGAAATTTCACTCATATCACACTGTATGACGTAAACTCCTACTCGCAAACGAATTATTGAAATAAAATTGAACGATATGTTAGTCCCCCTCTCTCTCTCCCTCTCTCTATCTCTCTCTCTCTTTCTCTCTCTCGATGCTAAATAATTAGTTTATATTAATGACAGGTAAAGAAGAGAGAAGTTCAGAAAGAGATTCCTTAAATACTCAGAGAAATCATGAAGGGGATTTCTTCGCCAGTGTGTGTACGATGCCAGGTAAATCGTCTATTTAACTAATATTTGGGGATTTCATTTACAGACTTTTAATAACTAGAGCCTTATTATCTGTCTTAAAAATGTCAGTGGTATTGATATAAAGTCCACACAGTAGACTAATCCATAAATAAAACCCGTGCGGTAGAATAATCCATAAATAAAACCCGCACGGTAGACTAATCCATAAATAAAACCCGCACGGTAAACTAATCCATAAATAAAACGCGTGAGGTAGACTGATCCATAAATTAAACCCACACAGTAGACTAATCCATAAATAAAACCCGCACGGTAGACTAATCCATAAATAAAACCCGCACGGTAGACTAATCCATAAATAAAACCCGCACGGTAAACTAATCCATAAATAAAACGCGTACGGTAGACTGATCCATAAATAAAACCCGCACAGTAGACTAATCCATAAATAAAGCCCACACAGTAGACTAATCCATAAATAAAACCCACACAGTAGACTAATCCATAAATAAAACCCGCACGGTAGACTAATCCATAAATAAAACCCGCACGGTAGACTAATCCATAAATAAAACCCGCACGGTAAACTAATCCATAAATAAAACGCGTACGGTAGACTGATCCATAAATAAAACCCGCACAGTAGACTAATCCATAAATAAAGCCCACACAGTAGACTAATCCATAAATAAACCCCACACAGTAGACTAATCCATAAATAAAACCCGCACGGTAGACTAATCCATAAATAAAACCCGCACGGTAGACTAATCCATAAATAAAACCCGCACGGTAAACTAATCCATAAATAAAACGCGTACGGTAGACTGATCCATAAATAAAACCCGCACAGTAGACTAATCCATAAATAAAACCCGCACAGTAGACTAATCCATAAATAAAACCCGCACGGTAGACTAATCCACAAATTGTCTATAATGATATGTTTTGTGGGATGATAACTTGTCGTTGAACATATTTAAACCAGGACCCGGGCTCTCCAAGCCCTACTCCGGTACCTTATAAGGATATAATCACCAGCGCAGCAGCCCCAATCACGGGGTCAACCCTGGAGTAGAGTGAGTGTAGCGGCATTAATAATTTTCCACTAATTTGTTTTCGTGTGACGTGTGACGCTAAAGTGGGACTAACATGCTTATATTCACAGATTACCAATCTTTAAGAGATCCTGTGTATGGCTCCTGGTTTCTCTTCACCTGGATTTACGTCATAGAAAAATTCTCACATAAAAATCACCTGATTGATCTATCGACGAAGGTAATTCCGCATTTTTTTTATCATTGAATGGTCGGTCCAGTTCATAGTTTCTATAAACTGTAATAAATTAATTCCACTGCTGTATACTGAATGTGGTAGCGTAATGCACTGTTAAGCTGATACCATTGACTAGCAAGCGCACGCTGTATTATAAGGTCATTTCAAGCGAATTATTGAAATAAAATTGAACCATGTGTTGGTTCCGAAATGACCTAGTTTGTGTCAAGTTGACGTTAAAACCAAGTGATAGCAAAAATGTGCGATATTTATAAATTTAAAGTGAAACAATTCTGTTAAAAGAACTACAATGAAATGGGGTTTAACGTCCTGGGATAATGAAGAAGGGCATACGTCATACAGTGTGCTATGACATAAATATTGCTCCGACAGCTGCTCTACAACCTACTCTTATATCGAATTCCAACTGTCAAGGGATCTTTTATGTGCACGCCAGTGTGTACTCAGTTTTTCGTCCCATTCGAACGACCATACCTCTGCCTTTACAGACCCTCTGCACGGCAATTACTCTACAGCCTACTCTTATATCGAATTCAAACTGTCAAGGGATACCCGGTTTTTCGTCCCATTCGAATGACTATACCTCCCCTTTTACAGACCCTCTGCCCTGTACTATTGCCAAGGAGGAAGAACTACAAGTTACACCTGTATATTTGTGACTTTATGTTTTCCAGGTGACCAATCTCGTTCAACAGTTTGGTTTTAAAGATAACCAAACACCCAACACCACGACTTGGTTAACAAAAGATCTGTATTTGTTTCCTGGTTTATATCAACAGAATAATCCGGGTAATACTGTGGAATAGAAGGGTTACCTATAGGTATAATATACATCTCTGGAATGGACGTGCAATCTGATTAATAACACATCTGTATTTCGTTTCGTTTTTTATACTTTCGATGGCCAACGCTACATGAAGATCTGACAAGTTGTACACGAAGGTCGTGTGAGGGGTCGTACGAGTGACTGTTGACCCTATGACGTCAGACATTGATTAATCAATCAGCGTTGACGTTTCTATAGTGGTTTACCCATTTCCCCAAAGACAAAAAAGTCGCCGTAACAGACCGTTTTATTGGCTTATCCCTCACTTCAACCAAAACTCCGGTAATATAACAACTCTTCCAGATCCTAGTGTAGTAAAGACAAGTAAAACGAAATATGATCTGTGTTTTAACAGATTTGAATAGAAGCGTTGTACCGCTTATATATATTTATATAAATATCATCTGTGGAAAAGAGAGATCTTATCACCTATAGATTTGATTAATATTGTATCACCTGTGGCCATTTTATACATTATATTTTAGTTTAATTTATTTCTTTACCTTGTTGATTTGATGTGTGGGATGGAGTGACATGGGGAAAGGGGGTGCGGGGTGTCGTGACATGGTGGGTGGGATGGCGTGACATGGGGAAGGGGTGGGGGTGTCGTGACATGGTGGGTGGGATGGCGTGACATGGGGAAAGGGGGTGCGGGGTGTCGTGACATGGTGGGTGGGATGGCGTGACATGGGGAAGGGGTGGGGGTGTCGTGACATGGTGGGTGGGATGGCGTGACATGGGGAAAGGGGGTGCGGGGTGTCTTGACATGATGTGTGGGATGGCGTGACATGGAGAAGGGGTGGGGGTGTCGTGACATGATGGGTGGGATGGCGTGACATGGGGAAGGGGTGGGGTGTCTTGACATGATGTGTGGGATGGCGTGACATGGAGAAGGGGTGGGGGTGTCGTGACATGGTGGGTGGGATGGCGTGACATGGGGAAGGGGTGGGGTGTCGTGACATGGTGATGGGATGGCGTGACATGGGGAAGGGGGTGCGGGGTGGCGTGACATGTGGGAGAGAGAGTGTGGTGACATGATGTGTGGGATGGCGTGAAATGGGGGAGAGGGAGATGTCGTGACATGGTGGGTGGGGTGGTGTAGGTAGTTGGCATCAGATGAAATCAGATCTTTTTTCTTTTGAATGCGCTAACTAGTAAAGCAAGATTAAGTTTCAGAGTTGAGTTTATAAAATCCAATGAATCTACAGTTTTAGTTTCAAAGAATGTACTAAAAACACATATTAATGGGAAAAACAGATACTTATTTGTTTGGGCGCCGTTTCGGGAGTATTCTCACAACGTTACCAAGCTAATACAGTAATACAAAAATTATGAGGTCAATATAAACAGAAAAACTATAACATAATTTTTTATTACTGCATTAGATTGATAACGCCGAGAGAATACTCTTCCAAACGTCGCCCAAATAACATACTCCTGAAGCAATAGTCCGAGAAATCCCTCTCTGGCCATTGCTGGATTGACTTCTGATGCTCGAGCTTTTGAGGGAGTGTGTCTTTTCTTCCCGTTCAATTTGGAGCTCTGTTTAAAACGTAATGATATTGTTACGCAGTTAGCTATTGGTTGTTAATCGGACTATTGGCCAGTCATATTCTAAACACTGCGAGAAGCGTATGCCCAAATAAATAAGTAGCTGTTTTTTTTCCATAACTATGTAAATTGCTCTATCCAGTTACTAAGTGCCTCTAAAAGATTATCAAAGAATATGTTTTATATTAACTTGTGTACTACCCTGTTTTATCACACGTTTTGTTATTTATTCGATATCATAATACAGAGGTTTCAATAGTGCTGTTACTTATTATAATACAGAGATTTCAATAGTGTTGTTATTTATTATAATACAAGGGTTTCAATAGTGTTTTTATTTATTATAATCGTAGGTTTCAATAGTGTTGTTATTTATTATAATACAGAGTTTCAATAGTGTTGTTATTTATTATAATACAGAGGTTTCAATAGTGCTGTTATTTATTATAATACAGAGATTTCAATAGTGTTGTTATTTATTATAATACAAGGGTTTCAATAGTGTTGTTATTTATTATAATACAAGGGTTTCAATAGTATTGTTTTTATCATAATACAGAGGTTTCAATAATTCAATCACTTTTTCTATTTTTCTCTCCATTCTTCACTAAGATGATATTAGCGCTTTTGGTTTATTCGCCTGTCGATGAAATTGAATTTGGGTTTAACGTCCTACTGTTCTGCTGTACTATGCTAATGAAGACGGGCATACGTCATACAGTGTCCTATGAGGAGAACTGTGTCCAGGCAACGGCCCAACAACCCACTCTTATATCGAATTTCAATTGTCAGAGGTTCTTTTACATGTTCCACAATCTGTACACAGAATCTTGGTTTCCGTACCATCCGAACGACTATATATGTACCTTGCCAGACCTCTGTCCTGCACCACTGACAAGCGCGGACCACGCCGAAAAGTTCGCAAGAGAGGGAGAGGGGAGATGGGGTTTAACGTCCAATCGACACAAACTAGATCATTTCGGAACCAACACATGGTTCAATTTTATTTCAAACATGTGACTATTTGCCGTATTATCACCGTAGCCAACCTAATAACCCCGTTATCCTTCCGCCTCAAAATCATGAATATTTACCAAATCCTGGCAGAAAATGTTACTTAAAACCCCCTTCGTCCATTCTAGACAAAAAAATCAACGAAAATGGGCATGCAAACGGGGAGAAAAGAGAGAGAATTGCTATAAATAGACGAACAACTACAATTGGTAGTCTGATTCCAAATAAAACTGGTTGTCTCCCTTTATAGGTGAGAACGTCCTATTCGGTACACCTAGAACTATCCACTTTATTTGGGAGTAGGTATCATTTCTAATTGGCTACCATTTTGAACAATTAGGGTGCTGTTTAGTTGAGCGGTTCTTATCTGTTTTACATCTTTACAAGGCTAAATAAACATTTCCAGTTTCATGAAAAGTGAATGCCGAATAAATACTTCTCAGAATTATCGAAGTAAACTAAAATTGTCTATTTATTAATGGATAAGAGCTTCTGGTCTGTCCTGAAGCGAAGTTCCATTGTAATCAGAAAGTGTAAGTGTCATTCGTCAGAATGCTCAATTTAATCCGTTAAATGTGCAGTTGGGTGATTTAACGTGTGTGGTTTAGGTCATAAGTTGTGTCATTGAGTCAACTTGTAGGGGATCGTGTGGCTGAGTGGGTAAGACGCTGGCTCGCTAGCCTGGAGGTCGGGTGTTCGATCCCTGCATTGGCCGAGAAAGTTCATCCAGGACGGAGGGCCTGACAAGGACAGCTGTCTAGTCCTTCGAATGAGACGAAAAACCGAGGTCCCGTGTATACATTGGAATGCACGTAAAAAGATCCCTTGGCAGTTGGAATTCGATATAAGAGTAGGCGATAGTGCCGCTGCCCGGGCAAAATTTCCCTCATAGCACACTGTATGGCGTATGCCCGTCTTCATTAGCCCAGTATAGGAGCAAAACAGTAGGACGTTAAACACCATTTCATTTCATTTGTGTCAACTTGTACGTGACTATGTGTAGGGTTACCTGCCCAACCTCGTGGGTTTTCTCTGGGTCCTCATCTTTTCTACCACTGATAAAGAACCCTACGCGCAACCGAATAATTGAACTAAAAATCGAACCATGTGTTAGTCCCTAACTGACCTAGTTTGTGTCTAGTGCAGACATATTGTCACAAAGCTTCCAATTTTAAAAAATGCTAGTGTAATCCCCCTGATCTCACTTTAAACTTGACCTTCTCACCCACACCCGGTTAAATCCTGAAAAAGCTCATGAGTTCTATTTACGTTTCATCGGGTAGATATCTGACAGATCGTTAGGTTTCAAGGTCTTCAACTCCATTAACACCTTTCATAGGATGGACAGAATTCAGTCGAGGTTCTAACAATTGTGCAATTTTGAATGTATTATATAAATTGAGTTTCCTTTTTTCTTGTTGAACTTGACTATGCCACAATAAATGTATCAATAAGTTTTGCCAAAAGAGTTAACCCCCATCCCTACCACGAATGGCCGCCATATTAAAAACATACTATACTATTATTTCAAGTGGATTTAATCCGGTATACAGCTATCTTACACACAAAGACTAAATAAGCTTTGTTTTATACCCAAGCGTGCTTAACAAGTGCAGTAATAGCAACACGAATATTAATATATAATCAACAATAACAGAACGGTAACAAAAGGCAGAATATTAATAAATGAACAATAACAGAACGGTAACAACATGCAGAATATTAATAAATGAACAATAACAGAACGGTAACAATAGGCAGAATATTAATAAATGAAACAATAACAGAACGGTAACAACATGCAGAATATTAATAAATGGACAATAACAGAATGGGAACAACAACAAGAGTTGAAGTATGCCAACTTTAAGGTCTTCTCATGATTCTAAGTTTCACTCTCTATTTTCGACAATTTTACATAGAAAGGGATACACTATAGAAATACATAGTGTAAAAATAAACTATAATATATACATTTCGAAGAATATTCTCTCAAAGTTATCAAGCAGTTGTTATTTTGTTTATTACAGATTTAACGTCCACTAGATAATAAATATGATATTATGGGCAGGTTGATTGAATTCAATTATTTACACTTAAAGGGTTGAAAATTGGTAAAAATGCAAAAAAAGGCACCTTAAAGCACACTTATTAAATCGCTGTCGTAATACAATGTTGTTGTTTTGGTTATTTATTCTAAATTTAACGTCCAATACAAGAAATATGATACCATGAACAGGTTAATTTAATTAAATTATTTACAGGTAATACAAAAATGTGGCGGGGAATATATACAGCAGAACTACAACAGCACATCATGAATCATACATGACAACGATTATATGATATTATGGACAGGTTGATTTAAACATACATTATGCACCTTGGAACACATGAAAAATTAGCGGCACACCTAGCTAAATATATATGAAAAAATATTTGAATTTTGCAAATTTCAAAACATGTAAGTCAGACGGCATACAACCGTAGACAGAAACTAGTCATAGACACATAGAATCATTCAAACTAAACACGGCTATGAATACCAGTGAATACTCAGTTGGGATCATGTGATTTTTCGTATTTTCATAGTGTGCTGTTTAAAATTTCGGGGCACACTTAGGCACACTGGTTGAGAATCACTGCATTGGAGAAACGAGACAGCCCCTAGAAACAGTCAGCATAAATCGTAGTCTTTAAAACTGCATGAATACAACAATTCATTTCCTCGTAATGAAATCGTAAAAAAATCGGTTTATAAGAAAATAAAAATAACAAGTTTAAAAGCGGTGCTATTTTTACCACTGGGCACTTGGACACTTCTATTTATTCCACGGCTTCATAAACTTCTTGGTTGTCAACCGGTTGTTCGTAGTCCTCTTCAACCGGACGCTTGGAGTTGCGTTTATTCCGGAGTTGGTAATCTGAAAACCAGGAGATATACTTCGATTACGTTTTTCATGACATATATTTGATCATACAAGGCTTCCATTTAACACGATCGCAATGGTGGGAAATACATAGTTTTCCATCTAACACGATCGCAGTGGTGCGAAATATCTGGCTTTTCATTTATCACGATCATAGTGGTGGGAAATGGGTGTTAACCTCTCTAGCTTTCCATTTATCACGATCGTAGTGGTGGGAAATGGGTGTTAACCTCTCTAGCTTTCCATTTATCACGATCGTAGTGGTGGGAAATGGATGTTAACCTCTCTAGCTTTCTATTCATCAGGGTCATAGCGGTGGGAAATGGTGGCTAACCTCTCTGGCTTTCCATTTATCACGATCGTAGTGGTGGGAAATGGATGTTAACCTCTCTAGCTTTCCATTTATCACGATCGTAAGGTGGGAAATGGGGGGTTAACCTTCTTATTATCAGCACAGAATGCACAAATGGGAAGGACAAACGACGCTACGGGTTACTCGTATTTCGAATTCTCATTGTAAAGGTTTATTTTACGTACACTGTAATGAGTACACGAGACTCAAGGCAAGAATATGCCTTCCCTTTCATGACGAAATTGTAACTCTTTCCATTATGTTACTTCACCTACGGCCAGCAGATTCGGTGTCGATTTATTTATTTCAGTTGATTTCCATATGTATATTCCATTTGGAAGTATTATTATTTATTCCATTTGGAAGTATTATTATTTATTCCATTTGGAAGTATTATTTATTTATTCCATTTGGAAGTATTATTTATTTATTCCATTTGGAAGTATTCGTTATTTATTCCGTTTGGAAGTATCATTGATTTATTCCATTTGGAAGTATCATTGATTTATTCCATTTGGGAGTATCATTGATTTATTCCATTTGGAAGTATCATTATTTATTCCATTTGGAAGTATCATTATTTATTCCATTTGGAAGTATCATTTATTTATTCCATTTGGAAGTATTATTTATTTATTCCATTTGGAAGTATCATTTATTTATTCCATTTGGAAGTATCATTGATTTATTTCATTTGGAAGTATCATTATTTATTTCTGTTATAATTATAAATACTTGTTTATTTTTGTACTATTTAACACAAGTTGTCGTTTATTATCGAAATATATTAGTTTCATTTTGTATTTTATTTCTGTTGCGATAAAAGAAACATAAATTTAGTTTTTACCGTCTGCAGTTTTCTCCTTGGTAGTTCTGAAAATACGAAGGAAATCAAATATTTATATTTGACTGTACATGGACATTATATATCAACACGAAATAAACAGTGATTGGAAGTTGATCGATGAGTAATTTCTTAACTTTGATAATGTGAACTCCTGGCCAGATATTGTAAGTGACACGTACATATCGATATTATGTCTTAATTAATACGAAATGAATACAGTTAATACTACTTACCTATCGTAATTAGTAGCAGTGCCATACACTAAAAAACAAAAAAAATATTTTAGACAAACACATGTCATATCAGCAATGATTTCTACTAAGAAAATATTTGAAACATTAAAAAATTTAAAAGTTAAAGTTAAATTTTGTTAAATCGACTATCCACATAGAACTATATTATAAAACAGACACCATAAATAACTATGTTATAAAACAGACACCACATATAACTATATTATAAAACACCATATATAACTATATTATAATACAGCCACCATAAATAACGATGTTATAAAACAGATACCACATATAACTATATTAGAAAACACCATATATAACTATATTATAATACAGCCACCATAAATAACGATGTTATAAAACAGACACCACATATAACTATGTTATAATACACCATAAATAACTATATTATAATACAGACACCACATATAACTATATTATAAAACAGACACCACAAATAACTATATTATAATACAGCCACCATATATAACGATGTTATAAAACAGATACCACATATAACTATATTAGAAAACACCATATATAACTATATTATAATACAGCCACCATAAATAACGATGTTATAAAACAGACACCACACATAACTATATTATAATACACCATAAATAACTATATTATAATACAGACACCACGTGTGATATAAGTATAGTATACTACAGTCGTCTAATAAAACCGGTCAACAATTTGTCCCCCACGTTGATCACTAGGATTTGGCAGGATATTATTACATACTGTGGGATATAGCAACATACGTATTAATAGTACCTAACATAAGAAGGGGGGACTTGTTAAAACCATGCAATAAAATCCGACAAAAACTGCTGCCAGACAAGGTGTTTTCCGAGATTCCATGTTGCTTTAACTCGAAGTATTTTTGGCAAGTGTTATAAAGTCTAGAAAATAATTTTTAACTTTATCTGTGGAGGTTTTTAATATAAATTTAACCCGTATTAAATACTCACCTCGTGGTCTTCTCAAACGTATGATCAGCATGGCAACACCGAACACAATAAGGGAGATAACTATACCACCAGCTACACCAATACCTATCAATGCACCAACACTTAGCGGTAGGTCATCTGATCGCTGGCTTTCTGAGATTTCAGGAAACACATTCAGCTTGAATGTAAAGATGATAGAATATGACCCAGCGCTAGTTATTCGCACATTGTACTCCCCTTCGTCGATTTGATGGACGTTTTTTATCTTTAGCGCGGGACCATCTATATCTTCAATTCTATAACCATTCAGCTTTCGTTCAGTTTCGGCTATTTTCTTGTACCATGTATAAGTTGGACGTGGATAACCCATTATCTTCAAATTCAATGTGGCATCAGAACCAATCGTAGTGTTAACCACTTCATTAGTTTCATTTTCTAATATTTGAACTGTACCTAAAATATGTAAATAATAAAAATATATACATTAAATATATAAATAATTAGTTTCCATTTCTAATATTCGAACTTTACCTAAAATATGTAAATAATAAAATATACACATGAAATATATAAAAAAATTAGCTTCCATTTAAAATATTCGAACTTTGCCTAAAATATGTAAATAACAATATATATAAGAAAACTAGATCAATAACCGATTATTAAAATACTGTAAACTCTGATACTGTATATTTATATTAAATAGATTATGAGGAATATGTAAAATGATGATGAAGCAAATATCTAGCATAGGAGCAACAATTAATCATCCCTTGGCTTGTGTAGTATATGTGTGTAGTATATATGTATTATATATGTAATATATGTAGTATATATGTAGTATATGTGTAGTATATATGTAGTACGTGTATATATTTAGTATACTTACAGTTCACGTTGGCATTTAGTATTTGACTATGCATTGCACCATAATCATTGGACGTGTTACAGAAGAAGCTGTTATCTCTACATTCAGCTGTTGTAATAACACTTAATGTCCTCGATGATGAGTTAGTGACGTAGCCGATAGTCTTCTCTCTATCATATTGATATCTGGATATTGATATATTCACGGGTAGTTTAGATGCAGAGGTTAGAGTACAGGTCAGTGTTATGTTGGTCCCTTCGTTGACACTTTTCGATGGTTGACTTGATATCTCAAACGTACTGACCAATGCTCTGTCTAAAATTTAAAAAATATTTTCCTGTCAGAGGAGTAAACATGGCCCGTGCACATTGCAGCCTGGATTATTTGTCATGGATTTACCTGACTGATGATGAAGGATAACTGCACCACAAAACACAGACAAGAACAAACAACAACAACAATAAGACACCAACCTTAGTGATGTTCCTAGAACAGATACAACAAGAATAGGACATTAGAAATCATACAGTAGTGATGTTCCTAGAGCAGATACAACGTGCCGGAAAACATCGAAATCGGGGGACGATGTCACGTGAGCGACAACTGCAACGCATCGCTTCAATCTAAAGAAAACAACCCCGATCTTCTATTTTGGCAGTTTTTGAATCATGCAGACATTTTGATTGTAATTAAAAGATTAAATACAGTACAATAAGAATACTATAAAATACATCTCACCAACCATTTTACATTACAAACGTTTAATGCTTATTTTTAAATAGTGTATAATAAGAATACTATACGAGAGCATCGTTACAATATACATCCACATTCCTATAGTGTGTATAATAGTGTATAATATACGTCCACATTCCTATAGTGTGTATAATAGTGTATAATATACGTCCACATTCCTATAGTGTGTATAATAGTGTATAATATACGTCCACATTCCTATAGTGTGTATAATAGTGTATAATATACATCCACATTCCTATAGTGTGTATAATAGTGTATAATATACGTCCACATTCCTATAGTGTGTATAATAGTGTATAATATACATCCACATTCCTATAGTGTGTATAATAGTGTATAATATACGTCCACATTCCCATAGTGTGTATAATAGTGTATAATATACGTCCACATTCCTATAGTGTGTATAATAGTGTATAATATACGCCCACATTCATATAGTGTGTATAATATACATCCATAATAGTGTATAACAGTAATACTATAAATACATCTTACAATACAATTAACCTTTAAAGCGAAAATAAATTAAAGGAGGACTTTACCTTTAATGGTTATTTGGTAGGTAGCCATATCAACTCCATGCTTGCAGGTCCACAATACATTCTGAGAACTGGAAGTTACAATAGTTTCAATAGTTGAAGTACCAGCCGTAGTGTTAACATCATAGCTTACAGCTTTAGCTGCTGCGGAAGTACCAATAGAACATATACCAGCGCTATACGGCGAGGAACATCTAAAATATTCTGTTGTTGAATACAACCATTTAATCTCATCTGTTATGGAGCCGATTTCACATGTAAGTTTAAATGGTTGATTATATGATAAGTTTTCTGGATCACTGATAATACGTATTCCTGGAATAAATATCAACAAAACATACACCATATACAATATCCAGACACAAAACATTCACCAGATACAATATCCAGATACAAAACATACACTAGATACAATATCCAGATACATATGTGTATAATAATGTGTCAGCTGTGTTGATTGTTTTAATCAGAAGTTCTAGAAAGCAAGCATATGCTATCTCTTGCACGACATAAGTCACAACTTGTAGCTTCTTGGGGCTAGATTTTAGACGTTAAAAGCTACTTGGTGGATCGTAAACGAGGTTTCAATTCTATTAGCTCAAATAGGGGTTTCAGGTGTTCCGTTATAGAGACTTTATGATTCAAAGATAAAGTCCAAGTACTGCACCGATTTGTAATTTTGGTTTTGGTAAGTGGAATTGAATTCATGTTTCATGTCCCGCGTTAAATTACATTTACAAAATCCATTGTATCTTTTATTTATTTTATTAACGTCCACTCGACACAACTAGGTCATTTCGGGACTAACATATGGTTTAATTTTATTTCTATAACTCGCTTTCGCTTAGGGGTCTTTAGCAGTGGGAGGAAACCGGAGCACCCGGAGAAAACACACAAGGTTGTACAGGTTATCCAACGCCATGTCACGAACAATCGGGCGGGGAATCGAAACCACGCCATTTGACTCAATGACAGACCTTATGTTACAGCGTGCACATGCTAACCATTCGGCGACTCCCCCCCCCACCCCGAAGTAATATATCTTCAAGTACTGATGACTGATATGGTTTTTTTTACCTTTAGTTATTAATGTAAGGAATCCAACCGTTACAACACAAAATAGTGACAGATGGCCAGATGTTACCATGGTGATAAATCTAAAACAATAAAATACAGTTACAACACAAAGTACTGACAGATGACCAGATATAATAACCATGGTGATAAACCTAAAACAATAAAATACAGTTACAACACAAAGCACTGAGGGATTACCAGATGTAACCATGGTGATAAACCTAAAACAATAAAATAAAGTTACAACAATAAAATACAGTTACAACACAAAATACTGGCAGATGGCCTGATGTAACCATGGTGATAAATCTAAAACAATAAAATACAGTTACAACACAAAATAGTGACAGATGACCAGATGTAACCATGGTGATAAACCTAAAACAATAAAATAAAGTTACAACAACAACAATAAAATACAGTTACAACACAAAATACTGGCAGATGGCCTGATGTAACCATGGTGATAAACCTTAACAATAAAATAAAGTTACAACAACAATGATACACTGTTACGGCACAAAATACTATAGTTCCATACAATATTCTGGTAGACCGATTGTATAAACAAACGAGGACTGACTGAAAAGTACTAAGTCTGAAAAGGATGGCCACAGATCACTAAAGATTTGCCCATTGACTTTAATGTTAATTCTCGTCTCTTAGACCGGCTCTAACTTTTTCCCAAATTTCCGTTGTGTAGAACGCACAGATGGAGCAACATGTTGCAGCCCTTGCGCAAAAGCATGTATGAGGTTCACTATGAAAAACTTGACATACACAAGTTGAAAGGAGAGACAAGTAAACATGCAATTTTTGACCCTACATTTCAACCTAACCAACCTCTCAACTCGTGTATCCTTCCGCCTTAAAATCATGAATATTCACCAAAACCTGGCAGAAAATGTATTTTCGTACCCTTTTCTTCGATTCTACACCTAAAAATCAATAAAAATCGCCATGCAAAAGGGGGAAAAAGGGAAAGGGAGAGAAAGACTAAAAAAAACTTTCGCCCTACATTCCGGGTGACGGCGTAGAAATATTTGGTGAGTTGTGTCCGGATAGATTGATTGGGTTGAAACAAACTATAGCCACTAGTCTCGGTCACCCAGAACCTCATAGTCTCGACTACATAGCCACCAACAAGCACAATTAATGCATTTTATAAAACATACACATTGAAATTTTATTTGTAGGTAATATGCACGTATAAAGATGTGCCTATTTAAAAATAAGGGTCTATTTTCAATAACAGAACACAATTTTTATGGGAAACAATCGCTGGTTTTATTCTAAAAGCACGACGTTTCGACAAGTATATCCTCTTATCGTTATCAAGCACAACGACATTTAGTTGTTGTTAGTTAGTTGTATTTTACTTCCGCTTCCACCGAGGTGATATCGCAGACAATGATGACATTTAGTAATGTAGTAGTTGTTAGTTGTATTTTACGTCCGCTTCCACCGAGGTGATATCGCAGACAAGACATTTAGTAAACTTGGGTTTAATATATAAGAGTTCATGATGAAGCCATTTACAAAAATTAAATAATAATAACAATAAGAAGTAAAAGATTAAACAAAAACAACACAATATAATAGATCCACGGTCCAACCAAAGGATAATATTGACTAACAATGAATGCCTTCAAAGGGAGCCATTGGGTGAAACCATATTACAGTTAATGAGGTGATCAAGATGAAACCATTCACCAAGAAATACAAACACAGCATAACCCTCCATCCGTTGTCTAAATAAACACGAATAATATATGCTTACTAATTAAGCAATCCAGGAAAAAAAATGATGTTAAACAAATGAAAACCATAACAAAATATGAATAAACAATAATAATGGGAATACCGGCCTATTCTCAGATGACTAAATATAGCCTGATGGATGGGCTGTGAACTGGAGAAAAAAATTAGGGCAGAAAGGATTCTTCTTTTTTCTGAAAGTATATGACCAGGACATCATCCGAAAAAAAGTCCCACGTTTTCCCGCTTGGGGAAATTTTTTTACAGCATTTTGAAAATCTGACCCCTAGCAATCATGAAAAAATGGGGTAAAGTTACAAGTATTGTCAATATCTCAGTAAGTACTAGTGATACGGTCATCAAACTTGGAAGGAATATGAGGTGATTAAACATGTATAGGTCGGAAGGCTGATTGTGAGAAACCAGTAGAGTGATATATTAAGTAATGTAGACAGTTTGTAATACTTGAGGTAACGACGTAAAGTAAAGCCGCTTAAATTAAGGAATTAGAACCCTTTATTAAGTGGTATTATTCATCCTGATAACATGATCATGTGTCCTTGAAATGTGAAGCCCTGCGTCCCTGTTCAGTTCTGGTGAATATCTTCTAATGTATATAAGAGCATGTAACACTATTTCACCATGCATATCTGATATATTAAACCCAAGTTTACTAAATGTCATTGTGCTTGATTTTCCGGTGTGGTTTCCCTTTGTCAGTGATGCAGGACGGAGGGCCTGACAAGGACAGCTGTCTAGTCGTTCGGATGGGACGAAAAACCGAGGTCCCGTGTACATATTGGCGTGCACGTAAAAGATCCCTTGGCAGTTGGAATTCGATGTAAGAGTAGGCCGTAGCGCCTCTGCCCGGGCAAAATGTCCCTCATAGCACACTGTATGGCGTATGCCCGTCTTCATTAGCCCAGTCTAGGAGCAGAACAGTAGGACGTTAAACCCCATTTCATTTCATTTCATTGTACCTGATAAGGATAAGAGGATACTTGTCGAAACGTCGTGCTTTTAGAATAAAACTAGAGATTATTTCACATAAAAATTGTGTTCTGTTATTGTGTTCCCCAATCACTAAATGCCACTTAAAGATTGGGTCTATTTTCAATTTTATATTTCCGTACGCTATCCGTTAAATATCCGCCTAGCTATAATGATGACAAACGTCCACTCGACACAAACTAGATCATTTCGGATCTAACATATGGTTCAATTTTATTACAATAATTCTCCAGTTGACTCAAGAACATTATATTAAAATACAATTAAATTACACAAAAATATAATTTACAAATCGGATAGGACAAATGTCTGATTTGTAAAACAAATATTGATTTGAAGATAGAAATTATAATTTTATTGTACAAATGTCGAAATACAAGAAATAATAATTAGGACCTATGGATTAAGAACTAAGAATGAAGGACTCTGAATAAAGAGCTTTTTGGTCTCGCATAGTTTTACAAATGTGAATAGTTTACAGTTTTGTCATGCATTAAGTAGCTTACACTTATCAACAAAATCTTTAATATGCACTACAATATCTATTCAGATGTTATTGAACGGTTCGTGAGCCTATATTACAAATAATTTACAATTAATTTACTTCCCCATGCTCACTATATTCAGGCTAGTAGAGTAGAGAACATTTGGTCGAATGGTTCTTAGTGCTTATCTTCCGCTCCCACCGAAGGTGGTATCGCAGAAAAGTTTTCTTATTTTCATTTTTATTATCTTATCGCACCCCGACCGCCTTTCTTGTAGCGGGAAAGCGGAGTACACGGAGTAATCCACGAGATTGAGAAGGCGCCCTTATCTCCAAGCCACATCCGCTCACACCAGTGATCGAAACCACAACCGCAAGCCAGAGGTGACCGGAGAGAGAGAGAGAACGAGAGAGAGAGAGAGAGAGAGAACGAGAGAGAGAGAGAGAACGAGAGAGAGAGAACGAGAGAGAGAGAGAGAGAGAGAACGAGAGAGAACGAGAGAGAGAGAGAGCGAGCGAGAGAGAGAGAGAGAGAGAGAGAGAGAACGAGAGATGGGTTTAACGTCCACTCGACACAAACTAGGTCATAATTCGCTTGCACGTAGGGGTCTTTAGCAGTGGGAGAAAACCGGAGGACCCGGAGAAAACCCACGAGGTTGGACAGGCGATCCTACTCCTTGTCAATTACAAGCGGGGTATCGAAACCACGACAGTTGACTCAATGACAGACTTTATGATACAGCGCGCACGTGCTAACCATTAAGCCATCGCCCCCCCTCCAGAAGTTACCGGCCAGCTAGAGGTCCAGGCGCGGCACCCTAGACTACGAAGCCATCTTAACCCCGCTACGGGGATGGGATGGAGCGGTTATACAAATTCAGCTGAGCCAAAACACCATCGATATCTTTTCTTGTCAAGATGAAGAGCGTGGGGGTGAGGTTAACAAGGGGCGCAGTTTTTTTAATTGAAATTTGTGAAATAATAGAAGAAAGCATGTATTATAATAGACTGAAACCCGGTATACGTAAATATATATCACATCTATTGTCTAGTAAATAATAAAACTTCAACTTTAAGTATAGGAGTCTATCCACCGTGAAGTCAGAAAAGCATGACGAAACATGTATTTATAAATCGCTCTATTTATAAATCTTTTACCGAGAATTTCAAACTAATAAAACTCAGTCATTGTGAGCTAGTTGACGGGAAATGATTAATTTCTACCCATCTATGTATAAAGTTTTATTTGGCCATAACGGAACGCGTGGGTATATACTGTCATTGAGTCAACTGGTTTCGCCTGTCCAACCTCGTTGGTTTTCTCCGGTCCTCCGGTTTCCTCCCACTGATAAAGAACCCTACGAATAAGCGAATCTTTAAAATAGAATTTGACCATATGTTAGTCCCGAAATGACCTAGTTTGTGTAGAATGTACGTTAAACTCTCTCTCTCTCTCTCCCTCCCTCCCTCCCTCCCCCTCTCTCCCCCTCTCTCTCCCTCTCTGTAAGTATATACCAACGTCAACATATGGATATGGATATTAGTGGTAAGGCATAAGATAGACATTTATTCATAATTGTCAATATTACCATAAAATCTATGGATTACTAGACAGGAAATTATTTATGTTCTCCAATATTGCGTAAAACGTATAGATTAGTATGTAGAAAGAAAAAAAATCTTTAATTAAGTTTAGCAATATGACAATAAAATATATGGATTAAATAGTAGAAGAGAAAAATAGAAATGAAATGGTGTTTAACGTCCTACTGTTCTGCTCCTAAACTGGGCTAATGAAGACGGGTATACGCCATACAGTGTGCTATGAGGGAAATTTTGCCTGGGCAGCGGCACTACGGTCTACTCTTATATCGAATTCCAACTTCCAAGGGGGGGATCTTTTACGTGCACGCCATGTGTACACGGGACCTCGGTGTTCGTCCCATCCGAACAGCTGTCCTTGTTAGGCCCTCCGTCCTGCATCACTCACAAGGGGAAACCACGCTGGAAAATCTGGATGAACTTTCTCGGCCAATGCAGGGATCGAACACCCGATGAACTCAATGTTACCAGTATTAAAATAGTTTAGGAATTAAAGGGCCAATCTCGATTATATGTTGGAGAATAAAACGACTTATTTTGTTTGAAAAGCCTTTAAAAACTACTGCCTTAGGGCCGAGCAACTAACTGAATATACGTGATACTTATTCGAACAACTTAAACCTGCCTGTCTTCATCTGGAAATGGAGACCTGTGTCCCAAGTTGTATTATACGGTGTCGGGATAAAACAAGACTCTTATTTTATAAAACTAACGTGTAGGTGAAATTTACCGTTCGTTATCAAGTACAGCACATGTATCATGCACTGTTTTTACCTCTAAATGAACGGTAATGGATTATCAGGTCACTCAAAGAAACAAATTACCCGAAATCTTAAAAGAGCTACGTGTCTGGATAAGGGGTTTTGAAGTTCACGTCCAAACAACTAAATATTTTGAGCTGAAATTTTCTGACAAGGTTACAACTTTCCTTTATATCTTGGCGCGTTTAAATTTCAAACCTATAAGGACTTTTATTTCTGAGACTCAATTAAAATCAGGATTGGTCCCTTTAAAGTCTATAAGAGATTTGCCCCTTCGTTTTGATTAGAACAACTACTCAATCAGGAAATGAATGAATGAAGAAAATATTGTTTTATGGCACGTCAGCTCCAACCGGGCTATATTGCGCAAAGCATGGTGATTATTTCAGGACACGATACATTGTATCACAGAAAACAATATGAATAAATAAAAACTGTATCACTGTAAAATCAAAAATAAAATAAATCTTTTATGCATATAAATATTCAAATATAAAATGATATGTATATACAAATTAAAATCTATGATAAAATCCTATCTCTTTTTAAAAGGCTATCACTTTACCATATAAACCCGGTTGGGCAAACAATTGATGTAATGATTGACAACGGTAAAAAATGTGATCTTACATCTTTGAGATGCCTGAACTCAATAAAAATGTGCTTAACTGTCAAAGGAACATGACAGTGTTCACATTCTGGTTGGGGCTCTCGCTTTAATATGAAAATGGGAGTTAAAATAAAGTATGACCTATACAAGAGCGACACAAAACAACTTCATCTCTTCTGTAGGAGTTTGGCCAATTTCCTAAGAGAGGCTTAATGTGATGAAGTTTGTTAGTGCTTGCAAGATCCCACGAACTTTGCCAACGGCCATAACTAAAATGGTTTATTGAAGATTTAAAATCCTTATATGGAATCAAAAGGGGTAATCGGGAAGATCTAAATCGGCTTTGGCAGCAAATTCTCCCTGATCATCCCCCCTTATATCAATGTGATTGGGGAGCTAGAAAAAGATGGCGGCTTTGCTGTTAAACTCATAAGATGGTAGCAGACGATAAAAATATGCTACATGGAGTTTGGGTTACAGATTTTGTCCGATCACATTTATTATGAAAGGTACTCATGGATCGCCCACCTGTACAACGCTAAAACAGGCTCAAAATTAAAAGTATTAATTGATAATAAAAACAGAATAAGTTTTTACTTACCTTGTATATCTTACAGCGGATGTGTTAAAGATAATAATATATAAACTAATGTCTACTTTGAAAACCTTTAACAACCAGGAAGGTATTTACAGTGGAAATATGAAGCAAGTCAAGGTTGACTTACCAGGCGTTATATACAATTACATATAATATATATAATTATAACTATGAAATATCCCACGTTAAACAACGCATAGCAAATACAATAAATAAATATAACAAAAGGGCGGACGGGTGGACGTATGGAGGGACGGGCGCACGGAGGGGTGGGTGAACTGGCGGGCAGAGGGATAGGTGGACGGGGGAACCGACGGATGGACGAACGGATGGGCGCATAGGTGTACGGGCGCACGGGCGAATGGATGGATGGACAGGCGCACGGATGGGTGGACTAGCGAACCGACGGGCGAACGCACAGACGAACAGATGGACGGATAGGTGGACGGATGGACATATGGGAGGACGAGAGTACGGACGAACGGATAGACGGGCGGATGCATGAACGTGTAAATTTGCAATTGGTACGTATTCATGCGAAGTAGAGGCTTGGATGACGGAATGATAAGCGTGTGCGCGTTGTATCGTAAGGTCTGTCGTTGAGTCAGCAGGCGGGGTTTCGATTTCCCGGTTGTACCTGACAAGGCAAGGAGTAGGGTCGCCTGTCCAACCTCGTGGGTTTTCTCCGGGTCCTCTGGTTTCCTCCCACTGCTAAAGGCCCCTATGCCCAGGAGATTTATTGAATAAAATTGAACCATATGTTAGTCCCGAAATGACCTTTGAGTCGAGTGGACGTTAATCTCTCTCTCTCTTTCTCTCTCTCTTCTCTTCTCTTCTCTCCCCCCTCTCTCTCTCTATCTCTCTCTCTCATACGAAGTGTTTTACTTCCAACTTGACTCATCTACGACAATCGAACCAGAATTGCTATTAATTCACTAAATATAATACTTCTTCCGTCCTTCATCCGCAGATCCAGAATCCGGATGGTGTCACCCAGACAACCCTGTTAAAATTTAAATAACCCTATATACTTATATAAACAAGTCATAGTTTCATTAAAGACACATTATGGGAGATTCGATAACGAGTTGGCAGTTCTCACTATTCACTGAGTTGCCGGCCCTTGCCGTAAGAGGAAAGACCCAACTGTTACTTTGACTGAAACACTAGGGGAAAATATAATGAAGGGCACGAGTAGTCATATGAGGTCGCCCGCATGCCTCTTAAGTAGAATACAGTGGGTTAAAGCCTTGTTTAAGAATCATCATAAACCCTCCTTCCACGCAGACTACATGGTAGTGTCATTTGTCAGTAGTGTACCACCCCTCACAAGTAAAGTAATCAAAAAAAAAAGAAAAAAAAGAAGGGGATTGTGTTTTGCCTATAGGACTCCTCACAGTGGAGAGCACTGTGCCTGCAATACTTACATCTATAGGCAAGACGATAATTCAGAGGAACGTAAGCTATAATAGTAAAAAAAGGGTAATAATGAAATTTGCTGAAAATTTCATTCAAATTGATCCACACTATGAACCGAGAACGAAGCGATTGAAATTTCCGCATAGCCTCGATCATCATTAATGAAGTAAGTACGATAAAAAGCATAGTCTCGATTATCCATTTAATCGTTAAATCGTGAAGGAAAGTTATGCAGTAAATCGGCTCATAATCCACTAAAGCTCACAGGCTAGCGATGCCATCTAGAGTTGATTATGGTCTGGATAGGTTAATTAATGTCTAATTAATAATTTAGATACGATTTCAGGCCTAAAAAAAAACAGCAATAAGAAGATTTAGGTCTTGCATAATGTATGTTTACAATGACATCATTATTAATGTGACGTCATAATGTATGTTTAAAATGACATCATTATTAATGTGACGTCATAATGTATGTTTAACCGTGTGTCAATTTAGCCACGTATATTCTGATAGGTCGGGGATAGGGAAGAACCGATCTAAATATCACGTGACTTGGTTAATATTCAAACTCTGCAGTATAGTTTCCTGGTTGTAAAAGTTACACCTGTTCAGACATCGCCATTTTTTATTCAAGGTAGGTAGAATATCTTTACCTGTTTTATATTCAAGGTAGGTAGAATATCTTTACCTGTTTTATATTCAAGGTAAATAGAATATGTTTACCTGGTACTGTTATTAGATAAGTTAGTGATAATTACCTGGCTACAAAATGACTTCCAAGACAAAGGAATTACCTTTTTTCTTTATATTTTCATGAAGATATATATCTCAGTGGTTCTTCAGCTGTTTTCAGTTAATTCTGTGAAGTTTTTTTAATAAAAAGTTTATTTGCAGGCGATAATACACAATTTGTGTCATATAACGCCTGGACAATTTAGTTGAGTTTAATTGTGATTCTTTTGATGGACATTTACCGGCTTGTCGGCGATATCATTTCGGTGGACGCGGACGTTAAATAAAGCTATTTCACACGACATGCACACTCATTTACCGACTGCAAAGTTCTGTGCTGCATTGGTGTTGTTTACGCCATTCTGCCCCGGTTGTACGTGACAAGGAGTAGGGTCGCCTGTCTAACCTCGTGGGTTTTCTCCGGGTCCTCCGGTTTCCTCCCACTGCTAAAGACCCCTATGCGCAAGCGAATTATTGAAATAAAATTAAACGATATGTTAGTCCCGAAATGACCTAGTTGTGTCGAGTGGACGTTAAACCCCATTTCTCTCTCTCTCTCCCCTCTCTCCCTCTCTCTCTCTCTCCATCTCTCTCTTTACGCCATTCTGAATGGTTCATATAACTAACGTTCTTTACGCAATTCTCAAATTTTCATACATGATTGAATCTGATGGACATTTACCCAAATTTTGCCTTAAAATTTATGGTATCGTATGATTCAAATTGTAAGCCCACTTTAGTAACGACAACAATGCAAAGTTTGTTACTTGCCATTTTGAATTAAAATGTTGGTTCTATACTAAAGGGAGAGAGAGAGAAATGGGGTTTAACGTCCACTCGACACAACCAGGTCATTTCGGGACTAACATATGGTTTAATTTTATTTCAATAATTCGCTTGCGCATAGAGGTCTTTAGCAGTGGGAGGAAACCGGAGTGCCCGGAGGAAACCCACGAGGTTGAGAAGGCGCCCCTATGTCCTTGCCACATACGCTCACACCAGGGCTCGAAACCACAGCCGCAAGCCAGAGGTGACCGGCCAGTCAGAGGTCGAAGCGCGGCACTCTAGACCACTAGGCCATCCCAACCCCCCCCCCCCCCTATACTAAAGGAGCTAAATCGCTATTATTTGTAACCTAGAAATTGACACAAATGGATCGCAACACATATAATTATGTAATATGAACTAATTTACATTTCATCGATTCTGTTTTACTGTAATTTCTAATCAGTTATTGTCGGCGAAAATATGCCAGAAGTCTCAATCGAATGCCAATCTCTAGCGTCTGGTTATTCCAGTCTACATCGATAGTATTTATTGCGCATGCTCTCCAGATCAGAATATGGGGTCACCGTTTGACATGACTTGTGGAATATTTCTAGCCCCGTTCTTCGATTCCCTTGTTACAAATGGCGCTGAAACGCATTATGGTACACGATTCTTATACCAATGGTAAAATGTTTATTTTGCCTTAAATATTAGATATCAGAAGCCCATATTTTCCCGGTAAGACCTTTACTTGTATTCATGAAGTTTATTAATATTTGTTTCTAAAAGTCCTTTAGAATAACATAACCATGTTTCCTAGATGGTTGACTAATCCATACTGATTTACCGTTTCAACATGTTAAAGTCGCATATCCAATTCCTCTCAGGCGAATAACAGGGAAGTGTAAATCTAAATACAAGGAAAAATATTTGGTGGAAGCCACGATCATAAAATGAATGAACTGTGGAAAGGAAAGAGAAGTCTGTTTATAATTAGTTGGTATATTATATATACTTAACAACCGTGCAATAACGTCTGAATAGTTGTTGTATTGCACGGTAAAAATTCTTTTGATACCTCTAAACTATTTGATGAGCGCACATCCTGAAAGAAAATAGGACTATTTTTTTTTTTTTTTTTACAATTTTCACGTTATTGATGGTAAAACAGATTCATTGTAAATCCTAGGCTGAAAGGATAACACAAATTCTGTAAGCCTCAACAAAATTTCAAAATAGATTCAAAATAAATTTCAAAATAAATTCAAAATAAATTTCAAAATAAATTCAAAATAAATTTCAAAATAAAATCAAAATAAATTTACAAATAAATTCAAAATAAATTTACAAATAAATTCAAAATAAATTTAAAAATAAATTCAAAATATATTTATAAATAAATTCAAAATAGATTTACAAATAAATTCAAAATAAATTTACAAATAAATTCAAAATGAATTACAGATAGTTAATACCAAATGACGTTTGTGGTTAATTACTAATGACGTTTTTGGTTAATGCCAAATGAAGTTTGTAGTTTGTGCCTAATGACGTTTGTGGTTAATGCCAAATGACGTTTGTGGTTAATGTCTAATGACGTTTGTGGTTAATGCCTAATGACGTTTGTGGTTAATGCCAAATGACGTTTGTTGTTAATGCCTAATAAAGTTTGTGGTTACTGCCTAATGACGTTTGTGGTTAATATCTAATGATGTTTGTGGTTAATATCTAATGACGTTTGTGGTTAATACAATACAATATAATATTTGTATGGTGGTATTTAATATGGTGGGTAGTGTTAGTATATAAAAGGATACTCGGTCTACAATTCAAAATTCCAAGTGCATATAATCAAAAGTTTACCTGCATATATTGACTCACGAATAAGAATTCGAAACTTTAAATCTAATGTCGTGGAAAAGTACATTAGGTACGAGACATTAGGTCGACTTGTTTACTATAATTGAAATTACCTGCAGGAAGAGGGAAAATATTGGTAGGAGAGAACGAGGGTATTCTATTGTATTGTAACTGTATTTTATTGTTGTTTTTGTAACCTTATGTTATTGTTTTAGGTCCATCACCATGTTTACATCAGGCCATCTGTCAGTATTTTGTGTTGTAACTGTATTTTATTGTTTTAGGTTTATCAACATGGTTACATCTGGCCATCTACCAATATTTTGTGTTGTAACTGTATTATTTTGTTTTAGGTTTATCACCATGGTTACATCTGGCCATCTGTCAGTATTTTGTGTAGTAACGGTTGGATTCCTTACATTGATAACTAAAGGTAAAAAAAGACATATCAGTCATCATTACTTGAAGATATAGTTGTTCATTTATTCTACCCTATAAACGTTTTTTCGTCTCATCCGAACAACTAGACAGATGTCCTTGTCAGGCCCTCCGTCCTGCACCACTGAAAAGGGGGAAACGACGGCCAATGCAGGGATCGAACTACCGACCTCTAGGCTAGCGAGCCAGCGTCTTACCCACTTAGCCACCGTGCCCCCACCCCCTATAAACACATTGTGTTTTAAAATATGATATTTTAAACTTTGAATAATAATTTAACAACACAAAACCTGAATTAGGAATTTAATTTCAACGTTTTTTTAAACAATTTTAGTGTACTAATAATCCGGAATCTGACTATGGTTCTGTAGGAAAGTTTGAGCAGAGAGAATAATTTTGTAGAATTGTTTAGTTGGTGCCTAAGTAAGTATTTTGAACTTGGATGGACACTCACCACGTGGTAGGTTATTCCGCTATGACGTCATCAAAGATGGCCGCCGATGTTATATCAATTTTATCCTACCTGCTCTAGTTTTTCGTCAATTTCTATGAAATAAAGGCAAGAATGAAGATGTTATGTGAAGAGAGTGAGGAGAGAGAGAAATGGGGTTTAACGTCCACTCGACACAAACTAGGTCATTTCGGGACTAACATATGATTTATTTCAATAATTCGCTTGCGCGTAGGGGTCTTTAGCAGTGGGAAAACCCACGAGGTTGAACAGGCGACCCAACTCCTTGTCACGTACAACCGGGGATTCGAAACCACGCCAGTTGACTCAATGACAGGTCTTATGATACAGCACGCACGTGCTAACCATTCGGCCATCCACCCCCCCCCCCCACTTGAGTGAAGAACATATTTTTTTTGGTAAATTATTCAAGAAAACAAATTTTTAAGTGATCCAGGACTTAGTCACTAAAGTATTAAAACAAGAACCTGACACCACTTCTCCTTTGATGGGTTTCCATAGCAACCAACTAGCCATAGTCGTATGACATCGAGGTGCATGACGTACCTCTAGTTAGTTATAAGTGGGGACTAATGTCGTGCACGATGTAGTATATGCTTACTTTCTTGAACACCTTGAGGTATTTCTCGTTGTATCTACACAATACCACTGTATCAGGTGTATGTATTGTATCTGAATATTGTATCTGGTGCATGTTACGTATCTGGATATTGTATCTGGTGTATGTATTGTATCTGGATATTGTAGTGCATGCTTTGTTGGTATTTATTTCAGGAATACGTATTATCAGTGATCCAGAAAACTTATCATATAATCAACCATTTAAACTTACATGTGAAATCGGCTCCATAACAGATGAGATTAAATGGTTGTATTCAACAACAGAATATTTTACATGTTCCTCGCCGTACAGCGCTGGTATATGTTCTATTGGTACTTCCGCAGCAGCTAAAGCTGTAAGCTATGACGTTAACACTACGGCTGGAACTTCAACTGTTGAAATTAATGTAACTTCTAGTTCTCAGAATGTATTGTGGACCTGCAAGCATGGAGTTGATATGGCTACCTACCAAATAACCATTAAAGGTAAAGTCCTCCACTAATTTACAGGTGTATGTTATAGAATTCTTATTATACACACTATAGGAATGTGGACGTACATTATGTATTGTTTAATGGTCGAGAGCGAGACATTAAGTAATATATTGTTACAACAAGAGGGCTGTAGGACGTATGTGGACGTATATTATACACTATTATACACACTATAGGAATGTGGACGTATATTATACACTATTATACACACTATAGGAATGTGGACGTATATTATACACTATTATACACACTATAGGAATGTGGACGTATATTATACACTATTATACACACTATAGGAATGTGGATGTATATTATACACTATTATACACACTATAGGAATGTGGATGTATATTATACACTATTATACACACTATAGGAATGTGGATGTATATTATACACTATTATACACACTATAGGAATGTGGATGTATATTATACACTATTATACACACTATAGGAATGTGGATGTATATTATACACTATTATACACACTATAGGAATGTGGATGTATATTATACACTATTATACACACTATAGGAATGTGGATGTATATTGTAACGATGCTCTCGTATAGTATTCTTATTATACACTATTTAAAAATAAGCATTAAACGTTTGTAATGTAAAATGGTTGGTGAGATGTATTTTATAGTATTCTTATTGTACTGTATTTAATCTTTTAATTACAATCAAAATGTCTGCATGATTCAAAAATTGCCAAAATAGAAGATCGGGGTTGTTTTCTTTAGATTGGAGCGATGCGTTGCAGTTGTCGCTTACGTGACATCGTCCCCCGATTTCGATGTTTTGTAGCACCATGGGCCTTTCTGTCAGACGTGGAGAGCGGGAGATGTCAGACCGGTCGCCACATCCTACGTACGACCCATGTATCTTTTCTTACTACATATTTCTGTAGCCTTGTGATCGTCTAGAATTTGTCTCTAGCTGTCTTTACTTCTGCTTCACGTTGGGTGTTTGCTTCTTACTGTTTTCTTAAGACGTTTGTCTTACCAGGAATAACAATGCAACAGTTCGCTTCTACATTTTATATATCTAGCTGAATACAAGTATAGCATAGAATACAATACTAGCTAAAACCATTTCTCCACCCTAGCCAGCCTCGCGGCTGTCTAGGAACTCCGATGGAACCTCTCTGGAATCTAATGAAAGTCTGACTTAAAAGTTAACTATGATTTCTTTTATAGGGCTCATGCATATCACGCACAGCAGAGCGTGTTCATGGGCCTGAACTTGTGTAATTAACAAAATGATTGGTTAAATTAAGCTAAATGATGCAATTAGAATATTTCCACTCACGTGTAATCTCGTGGTATTTTATAGACACAAGTTGATTTAGTACACACTATATATAATATATATGTGAATATGTGTGAAACTATTAATTTGCCAGCTATATTAATTAATGAAATATAAAGTCATCTTATTTCTCTATTCTTTGTCTATAAATTTAAAAACAATGTCGCCACAACTATATTGCTACAGTTTTCCGGCACGTTGTATCTGCTCTAGGAACATCACTACTGTATGATTTGTTATTGTTATGCCCTAATCTTGTTGTATCTGCTCTAGGAACATCACTAAGGTTGGTTATGTCCTAATCTTGTTGTATCTGCTCCAGGAACGATACTACTGTATGATTTGTTATTTGTTATGATGTCTTATTAGGGTTTCACACTGCGTAGCTTGTGTGAAACACTATTGTTTTTGTTAAAATTATTATTAGGGTTTCACACTGCGAAGCTTGTGTGAAACACTATTGTTTTTGTTAAAATTATTATTCTTATTATTATTATTCTTCTTTTGTTTTGAGTAGATCTCAGCAACTGATTGTCGGATCGTTACGATTTCTTCGGTTTTATCGGAAAAGTGGGTGTGACTTAGAGGATAAAGCTATTTTGAACGTTCTGCGACAATGCGAAATGTCCGAAATCACCGAAGCTATCGTTTTTAGAAATATTGCAGTAATTTTAACAATAATCATTGGATTTTAACTTTCGATGCATTTTGGCATAGCCGGAGACGGGGCACATAGCTACGCTACTTTTGATTTTTGATTTTCGGCAAATCTTCGCAGATATTAGGCGCTAAATTTAGAAAATTTAAATTTTTACAAAAAACTTTTTTATTTATGAATATTTTTTAATCGTGTTTTACACAAATATAACGAGTCCTCTGACTTGGGCAAAAATGTGAAAATTTTTTGTCTCGGTAATTTTCCTTGGCCCCCATTGGCTAATTCAGTTTTTCAGTCCTAGATTAATTATTTATTGTTCGATTTGTATAAAACAAAGTTCATATGCCCCGTTGTCTCAATTGTCATTTTTTTTGTTACCAATAGTGTTATCTGTCGGCACCGGAAGTGGCGTAAATTGACAAAAAACTACAATTTTGACAGTTAGGTACCATTTTTCGAAAGCAAATATTATTTTTTTCAAATCTGGTATAACTGAAATTGTGCGCCCTTTAAAGGCGCACAAAATGTTGGGACCATTTTTTTTAATTTCGATTCCGTTTTCGGGCTATTTCGATTAAAAGGTGAAAAAAGGTGTAAATTTAAGCTATTTACAACCCATCCAGCGTTTTCATATTTTAAAATATTACTTCGTAACTTTCATAAACTCGTAGCAATAATCTATACGGAGAGAATGTATGTGAAAATTAATTTGTAATATGCGCAGTTGCCGAGAAATGGGCAATTTTGCATGAGTCACTTTTTACGCTAGTTTGCCTGTAAAAGAGTCAATTATTATTCGATTTTCATAAAAGTGACACCATTTGATGTGTAATGTCAATTTTAACTAGGTCAAACCAATTTAACATTTTCAATATCACCGGAAATGACGTAATTTGGGCAAAAATTGTATTTATAGCCTTCGAAACCAGTAATTTATTCAAATGAGTCATATTTGTTATTTGTTTAAAATTTTGATATTTGATTCAAATCAACTAATACAATGAACCCTTACGATCATATAGATATCACAAAATGGTTTCTAACTTGTTCAGTTGCGGAGAAATAGGCAATTTTCAACAGGTCACTTTTTAAGGTTTTTTTGTCAATAAAAGTGTCAATTATTATTCGATTTTCATGAAATTTTCACTGTGTGATACATAATGCCATTTACGATATCATACAAGTAATTTAAGATTTTCATTATCACCGGAAGTAACGTCATTTTGGCAAAAACTGTATTTTTAGCCTTCAAAACAGATATTTTATTCAAATGAATCAGATTTGTAATGTTTTTAAAATTATGATATTTGATTCCAATCAACAAATAGAATGAACTCATTCGATCATACAGATACCTCAAAATGGTTTCTAACTTGTACGGTTGCAGAGAAATAGGCGATTTTCTACAAGTCATTTTTCAAGGTTTTTGGTCTATAAAGGTGGCAATTATTATAGGATTTACATAAAATTTTCAACATGTGATGATGCTATTTCTGATTTCATAAACCAATTTAACATTTTCATTATCACCGGAAGTAATGTAATTTTGACAGGATCACTGACATGTAGCAAATGAATTGATTGCTGGATTTGGTTGTTTCTGCGTCCATTTTATTTCATGTGTGCAATGCTTATGTGGAAACCTGTTTAACGGTTTCATTGGTACCGGAAGTGACATAAGTTCAAGGGTAACGTGGCACCGGTGAAACCCGTCATTACTGCTTCGCAGTTCTAGTTCTTATTATTATTATTAGGGTTTCACACTGCGTAGCTTGTGTGAAACACTATTGTTTTTGTTAAAATTATTAGGGTTTCACACTGCGTAGCTTGTGTGAAACACTATTGTTTTTGTTAAAATTATTATTCTTATTATTATTATTCTTCTTTTGTTTTGAGTAGATCTCAGCAACTGATTGTCGGATCGTTACGATTTCTTCGGTTTTATCGGAAAAGTGGGTGTGACTTAGAGGATAAAGCTATTTTGAACGTTCTGCGACAATGCGAAATGTCCGAAATCACCGAAGCTATCGTTTTTAGAAATATTGCAGTAATTTTAACAATAATCATTGGATTTTAACTTTCGATGCATTTTGGCATAGCCGGAGACGGGGCACATAGCTACGTTACTTTTGATTTTTGATTTTCGGCAAATCTTCGCAGATATTAGGCGCTAAATTTAGAAAATTTAAATTTTTACAAAAAACTTTTTTATTTATGAATATTTTTTAATCGTGTTTTACACAAATATAACGAGTCCTCTGACTTGGGCAAAAATGTGAAAATTTTTTGTCTCGGTAATTTTCCTTGGCCCCCATTGGCTAATTCAGTTTTTCAGTCCTAGATTAATTATTTATTGTTCGATTTGTATAAAACAAAGTTCATATGCCCCGTTGTCTCAATTGTCATTTTTTTTTGTTACCAATAGTGTTATCTGTCGGCACCGGAAGTGGCGTAAATTGACAAAAAACTACAATTTTGACAGTTAGGTACCATTTTTCGAAAGCAAATATTATTTTTTTCAAATCTGGTATAACTGAAATTGTGCGCCCTTTAAAGGCGCACAAAATGTTGGGACCATTTTTTTTAATTTCGATTCCGTTTTCGGGCTATTTCGATTAAAAGGTGAAAAAAGGTGTGAAATTAAGCTATTTACAACCCATCCAGCGTTTTCATATTTTAAAATATTACTTCGTAACTTTCATAAACTCGTAGCAATAATCTATACGGAGAGAATGTATGTGAAAATTAATTTGTAATATGCGCAGTTGCCGAGAAATGGGCAATTTTGCATGAGTCACTTTTTACGCTAGTTTGCCTGTAAAAGAGTCAATTATTATTCGATTTTCATAAAAGTGACACCATTTGATGTGTAATGTCAATTTTAACTAGGTCAAACCAATTTAACATTTTCAATATCACCGGAAATGACGTAATTTGGGCAAAAATTGTATTTATAGCCTTCGAAACCAGTAATTTATTCAAATGAGTCATATTTGTTATTTGTTTAAAATTTTGATA